TACAGACATAGATATACATACATAGACATACATACATACATACAGACATAGATATACATACATACAGACATTCACATACATACAGACAGAAAGACATACATACATAGACAGACATACATACATACATCGAAATACACATACACACACACACAGCTCATTTTCCAGCCACCCTCCTGTTTCTTTTCTTTTCTTTGCAGGAAGGTGGCTGGGGCTGATGGGACTGGGAGTCAGCACGGCTCTCCCTCACTGCCACGCACGCGCTCCTCCTGTGCGGAGTGAGCTGGGAGGAAGTGACCACTTCCTCCCAGCAGCACGTGCTGCGGCTGCTTTTTTTTTTTTCTTTGAAAGGGGCCCGGTCGCGCTATTACATGGCCACAGTGCTGACCGGGCCACTGAAGATATAGGGCCCATCGGGTGGTCCTAAGTGCATGGGCCACCCGATAGGTCCCATCAGCGTGCAGGCCCCGGTGCAACTGTACTGGCGGCAGTTCCGCCACTACACGTGGGGCCCGGGCATTACAATCCATTGGATGCACATATATCTAATGAGAGAAACATCAGTTGGGGATTTAACTATATATCCCCAAATCCCTACCAGAAAAAAGTTTATCTAATTATTTTTTTTAAATAGATCAGACCCTGTGAAATGGCCCAGAATTGGAGGCTCCTACTTGGTGGATTATTAGAAGGATCTTTCTATTCTTTTGCAGATTTTTAATGCAATTTCTGTTAAGTGCGTAGATAAAATGCCAGTCAATTTCATATGCCAGTACTAAGGTTAGTCAACAATGTGTTTCACAGACTGAGTGAGATGTGACCTATCACTGGAAACTTCCAGGCTGGCTGAAACCCCCAAATTTCTTCAAGCTTACACATTTTATGTCTTGTAGTGCTGGCTGCTGAAAGATTTTCCTCCTGATACGAACCATTTTAATTAACTCCACTTTTAGGGATATATCTATTAAACAATGAACAGAACTACTAAGCGTTCAATCTAGAAGACAGTCTACATTACTATAATAAAATCAGGAAGAAAGGAAAAATACAGAAAGAATCTTTCTCTGCTGAAAGCCATTTCTTTCAAAACACCGTTCCCAGCAAACCAGAGCTGGCGTGGATATATCCTACATGTTGAGCAACAACTGGCAGCGATGTTCCCGTTTCCCCACTACATTAATATGTTAACAAATTCTACAACGTCAGGAAAAGCCAGGATTTAAAGGAACACTATAGTCACCTAAATTACTAAATAAAGCAGTTTTAGTGTATAGATCATTCCCCTGCAATTTCACTGCTCAATTCACTGTCATTTAGGAGTTAAATCACTTTGTTTCTGTTTATGCAGCCCTAGCCACACCTCCCCTGGCTATGATTGACAGCCTGCATGAAAAAAAAAACTGGTTTCACTTTCAAACAGATGTAATTTACCTTAAATAATTGTATCTCAATCTCTAAATTGAACTTTAATCACATACAGGAGGCTCTTGCAGGGTCTAGCAAGCTATTAACATAGCAGGGGATAAGAAAATCTTAATTAAACAGAACTTGCAATAAAGAAAGCCTAAATAGGGCTCTCTTTACAGGAAGTGTTTATGGAAGGCTGTGCAAGTCACATGCAGGGAGGTGTGACTAGGGTTCATAAACAAAGGGATTTAACTCCTAAATGGTAGAGGATTGAACAGTGAGGCTGCAGGGGCATGTTCTATACACCAAAACTGCTTCATTAAGCTAAAGTTGTTCAGGTGACTATAGTGTCTCTATCACTGCAATTGCTGTTTAATTAATTATTTATTTTAATTTTCTTACTATTATCCATAGGGAAATAATAAATGTGTAAAACATATGGATCTGTAGATTTCATTAAGTACTTTTTATTTTGCCTTTCCTGTTTTTTTTTTTATTTTTTATTGGGGGAGACGTCTTTGGTGTGATCACTGCTTCTCTCCAAAGAAACGTGCAGGCAATCAAGAGCAGCTGCATTTTCACTAATCCTGGCATGATGTGCAAAACCCAGGAATCAAAAATAGTAGTTTAACCCCTTAAGGACACATGACACGTGTGTCATGAGTCCCTTTTATTCCAGAAGTTTGGTCCTTAAGGGGTTAATAATAATAATCAGTTTAATCCATTTATTGCGTGTTATCTACGATACGATAAGCAATGCTTCTGAACAAATCTGAAATAAAAATGACCGTCCCCACGCAGAAAACGTATCCCAGGGAATTAACTAAAACATAAATAAAATAAATGTAGTTATTTGTACACATTACAAAATAGTACGCAGAGGCTAAAGTAGTGGCAATGCGTTATTTTAAATAAAAATAAAACATTATCGCAGTTTTCCATCACTCTAAAAAGGTGAGTACTAATGGAAAAGCAAATATGGAACAGTTGAAACGCTGCTTCCACGCTATAATAAAGGAACATTTTATTGCATATTTAGTTACTATTCCATAATATGTCAGGGCTGCTGGCAGAGGTGAGCTGGCTGGTTGCCCGGAGGTCCTTGGAGCCAGGATTTTAATATATTTTTTGCCTGTTATTACTTGCTGCTGTTGTGACGCTGCAATGCTCTCCTTATAGAAAGACCCATGAAGGTTAAACTCATAACATGCGAAGCTGATATCCATAGCTTGTCTTTCCTGTCAGCTTTGTATATTTACCAGCATTACCACCTCTCTTAGTTGCTGCTATACACACTTACTTAATGGAAAGAGAGAGTGTGCAGCAGTTATTTTGTAAAGGAAAAAGCCTGGTGCTCATGTAATCTTATATTAACAGGATGTTATGTTGAATCGGTCAGACACGGCTTCAGTGAAGCATACGTGTTACATAGGCAGGGCCGGATTTACATCCTAGGTGCCTGTATGGGCACAATTACCAGCCCTTACTGCATGGCCAAATTATCAGTCAAATTACACTCTTCCTTAACCATACCAATTCATATCAGCCATAGGCAGCTATTATAGCATTCAGTAGACACTCTCAGCCAATCCCTGCAAACACTTCCTCATTAGCCCAAACAGTAAAAAAGGGCCGGACTCCATTAAAAAATGGTTTAACGCGTAATGGAGAGGTGGTGATAGGGGACTCCGGGAACTATAACCCATTTTAAAGAGATGAAGCAGTTACTGAAGATAGAGTGTCCCTTTAAAGTTAAATAATATCCTCCTTGTCTGTTGTAATCAATGTCTGCATCCCCCAGGAAGTGTTTGCTCAATGCATGAAATCAATTGCTGACTTGAATGTAGGTAACAAGAGATTTTAGATATCTCAGGAAAGCCTTAGAGAGAGAAAACATGTGTCGTGGATGCTTATCGACAGGAGAGACAGTGTTTGCTCTCACAAAACATGATGTATTCGACAGTCTAATCAACACGTTATATAAAATCTCCTGCATGCCCTAAGGCAGGACTGACACATTTTTTGTGATATTCATCAGATGATATTTGGATGCTTAAACACAAGTTTAATGATTCATTCAAGTGTTAACTCCTCAGTTTCTGCACATTGTTGTCTCCCCCCTCTTCCTTATTATTATTATTTTATTATTTATATAGCGCCATCAGATTCCTTAGTGCTGGACATTATTTGGTATTTGGTTTACCATTTACGTTCCTTTTAGAATTTCTACTGTTCTCGGTTTGACGATTCCCAGTTATTTCACTGTAAATGGGAGCCCTCTGATTGTTGGATGGTGGATTATGTCTGTGTGTCTTCTAAAGCCTCTTCTGCCAGTAATGGGTGTGCCAGCAAGTCAGAACAATGCCTTACAATCAGGATTGGCCAGGTTCCTCTGGGCTTCACAACCCCTTTTAAGGAATTGATACCTTACGCATAGAAAAACGACAAAGAATTACATGCGACATCTATTGGCAGGATTAACTTTTCTGGAGGTCTGCTGGTACAGATCTGTCTCAGGTCTGAATAGCAACATGAACTGAAAAATTGAAAAGGAGAACTCAAATAAATAGCAAGAAGTCATGAAATTCCAAAAGTTGTTGTCTACAAATGTTATACTGCATTATGGGAGTCATAATATGTGGCTTCTGGAATGTCCCCGATAGCTGGAACGAGGAGAATTTTAAAAAAAAAAAATTTTTTTTAAACCGAGGATTCTCACAAAACAATTAATGTGAAGTAAAAGTATGTGTTTGGCTGGTGGGGAATAATAAAATGTAATCTTTTTAAAATTACGCTCCTTAATCCGCAGCCACCTCGAGATCGCATTTGATAATCAGGTTTGACTCGATGGTTTGTATTACACTGTGGCAAACTGTTTTTAATCTTTTGTGATTCTGTGTCTCATTTGTGTCTAAAGCTGTCTGTAGTATGCAGCCTTTTTATAATCTATTTGGAAAAATATTATGCAATGTGATTGAGAATTCGGGATCAGAGTTTGAACACATAACGCTATAGTTAACCATGAAAAACAGAAAAAACAACTACTTTTAGTAGTGTGGTTTAGGTAAGATATGGTTAGAAATAGAAACAGGTGTAATAATATATTTCTGCTGTTCTAGCATTTATTTACTAGTTATGCTAAGTAACAATACAAACTCCATTTTGCTAACAAGAACCTCAATGCCATGGCCATATATGGGCCTGTCACGTATGCTATGCTGAATCAAAATATGTGTCAGTAGTCCAATGACAATAGTTAAAATAACTCCATGTTCTAGTCTTGTTCTACCTGGGTTAGTTAATTTTTATATCTACATTGTTACGTAAATCAAGTGATTTTTTTAATATCTAAGACCATCCTTTATGCGGACAATTAAAGGACCACTCTAGGCACCCAGACCACTTCAGCTTAATGAAGTTGTCTGGGTGCCTGGTCCTTCTAGGGTTAACCCATTTTTTCATAAACATAGCAGTTTCAGAGAAACTGCTATGTTTGTGAATGGGTTAAGCCTTCCCCTATTTCCTCTAGCAGCTGTCTCACTGACAGCCGCTAGAGGCGCTTGCGTGCTTCTCACTGTGATTTTCACAGTGAGAGACACGCCAGCGTCCATAGGAAAGCATTATGAATGCTTTCCTATGTGACCGGCTGAATGCGTGCGCAGCTCTTGCCGCGCGTGCGCATTCAGCCGACGGGGAGGAGAAGAGGAGGATCGGACGAGGAGAGCTCTCCGCCCAGCGCTGGAAAAAGGTAAGTTTTAACCACTTACCCCTTTCCAGAGCCGGGCGGGAGGGGGTCCCTGAGGGTGGGGGCACCCTCAGGGCACTATAGTGCCAGGAAAACGAGTATGTTTTCCTGGCACTATAGTGGTCCTTTAATTTTATTCTCCCCTTGGAACAAACCTATTGTGATTGGGTTCATACCACACAAGCAAAGAGGCAACTCAAAATTAGAGAATATCCCTAATTATATCCTACTAGTTTCCCAAAACCTGGCAAAGGTATACTTGTGCTGACCTCCCAACTGTCCCAAGTTGGGCGAGAAATTCTCGATTTTCCAAAGTCCAACTTTTGTTTCTTGGTGTTCTGCATCTGAAGACACCAGTGAGAGGTTGTTAGACATGCTTGAGCGGTGCAGGGAGAACTAGGACCATGCAGAGAGGGCTTCAGCAGCGCTAGAAGGGCAAAGTCTTTGCACCATAACTAGTTCAGCAGAATTAGGCAGCTATGGTGCTTAAAGGAACACTAACAGTACAAACTTGTATTCCTAAGACCTTTGTGTCCCTGTCAAAATTTACACAGATCCAGTGGCGTACCTACCACGGTCACAGCTGCGACTGGGCCCTTCACTGCAGGGGGCCCGGCTGCAGCCACGACCCCTGCGACTGTGGGCCGCCTAGATGCTGCCCCCACTGTGTTCCCTCTGTCATAGGGGGGCCCAAGAGGTGGCCTGTTGGCCACCTAATGGACCCCCCCCCCCATCAGGTGGCAGAGTTCCTGTCAGAGGCCGCGAGGGAGCTGTGTTCTCTCTGCTCTGCTCCCTCGCCGTTTGCTAATCCCAGGAGCCGGAATATGACATCATATTCGGCTCGCGGCATTTGTAGACAGCCCACGAGTGAGCAGAGCAGAGAGAACACAGTTCCCTTGCCACGTCTGACAGGAACTCTGCCGCCCGCCTAAATGAAGTCCCACTGGACCCCAGGGACAGATCCACGCCAGCTCTCCAGGTAGGGAGGTTCGGTGGACATTTAATATTAATAATTTGTGTGTCTGTAAGTGTATGTGTGTGTCTGAATGTGTGTGTGTGTAAGTGTATGTGTGTGTCTGAATGTGTGTGTGTGTAAGTGTATGTGTGTGTCTGAATGTGTGTGTGTGTGTGTAAGTGTATGTGTGTGTATGTAAATGTGTGTCTGTATGTGTCTGTAAGTGTATGTGTGTGTCTGAATGTGTATGTAAGTGTATGTGTGTCTGAATGTGTCTGTGTGTGTGTGTTTGTCTGTGAGTGTGTGTGTAAGTGTGTGTCTGTGAGTGTGTGTGTCTGAGTGTTTGTATATGAGTGTATGTGTGTCTCTACGTATGTCTGTAAGTCTCGGTCTCTGTGTGTATGTATGTGTCTGTATTTGTACCTGTGTGTGTGTCTGTCTGTGTATGTGTGTGTGTGTGTGTCTGTCTGTATGTGTGTGTGTCTGTCTGTTTGTGTATGTGTGTGTCTGTATGTGTGTGTGTCTGTGGGGTAGGAGGTAGATGTATGTGGAAGGGTGGTTTCTAGTTACCCCTCTGCACAGGTCCCACATCCTGTCTGATATTATTTTAGTTTATAAAATAATAATACTAATCAGTTTAGTGAGACATGTCATGGTTACAGTTAGAGGGATCCCAGCCTTGGTGACTGTGGGGTCCTTTAAGGAAAGACTTTTTAATGTTCTATTTCCCTTGGTGGCCATGGATACTAGGCAGAGCTTCACGTCATCAGTTCCGTGGAACGATTGCATCACTTGCATCCGGCAAGCTGGCCAATCAGCGGCCGATCAGCTGCCGGCTCCTCCCCTCCTTGATTCCATGTGTAGGTTCGTTAGTAAGCCCCGCCCCGCCGGGTTTGGAGTGGCTGTCCGCGCGGAGATGCTGTCAGTGTGAGTGTGTGGCACGCGGCGGGCAGGACGCAGTTCTCTCTCTCGCTGTCTCAGAGCCTGGAATCCCGGCCGTGACGTCATCACTGCGAGACCCCCTGCCGTGACCTCATCGCCCGGTGCCCGCAGCTCCACGTGTCTGCCTGGGAGCGAGGATGAAGGAGTGTAACGGAGCCGCCTCTTCCCCCGGGGATCCCCCCGTGCCGCCAGCTCTGTACCGGCCCAAGGAGGAGCCCACACCGGGCTGCCGGCCCCGCCTGGCCCGCTTCCTGCGCGGGAACATGCTGGTACTGCTCACCATCCTGGGGGTCCTGCTGGGCGCCGGGCTGGGCATGGGGGTGCGGCCGCTCGCCCTCTCCAAGGCTCAGATCGCCTCGTTCTCCTTCCCCGGGGAGCTGCTGATCCGCCTGCTGAAGATGATCATCCTGCCGCTGGTGGTGTGCAGCCTGGTGTCCGGGGCAGCCTCCCTGCAGCCCTCTGCCCTGGGCAAGCTCGGCGGCTGGGCTATGCTCTTCTTCCTCGTCACCACCCTGCTGGCCTCGGGGCTGGGGGTGTGCCTGGCACTGCTCATCAAACCCGGGGTGGGGGCCCAGGTCAGCACTGGAGACGGGGATGGCATCCCTGAGGCCAAGGAGGTGGTGGATTCCTTCCTGGACCTAATTCGGTAAGTGGCTGTCTGTGTGGCTACTGTCATGGCTAGCTTACAGGGACAATCTGAGTGCTGACAGTGTGTCTGCCGGCATGGCTAACTTACAGCCACTATGGGCTATGACATGCTCGGAGTGCTGACAGTGTGTCTGCCGGCATGGCTAATTTACAGCCACTATGGGCTATGACATGCTCGAAGTGCTGACAGTGTGTCTGCTGGCATGGCTAACTTACAGCCATTATGGGCTATGACATGCTCTGAGTGCTGACAGTGTGTCTGCCGGCATGGCTAACTTACAGCCATTATGGGCTATGACATGCTCTGAGTGCTGACAGTGTGTCTGCCGGCATGGCTAACTACCAGCTGTTGTGTACAATCATCACACTGTCAGCACTGTGGATTATATAGAATGGTTTACTGATAGTATATATCTGTTGGTGGTTGACTGTCTTTGGACACTCTTGCCCTTGTAGACTACTATTGGCTAATGCTCTGATCACTGTAACAAGTTCACACCTGTTACTGTGTCAACCTCCCCACGATCTCTATAATATGGAGTTTATGGATCGAGACATGACCTCTATAAAATGTGCAATATTGGAGAAACAGATCAGTCTTGATCCCCTTCATTACCAGGGATTTTATTCATATCCCAATTTGACATCGTTTGTAATCTAGTGAGGTGTCAAAGCTGTGGAAATAGTTCAGTTGCAGAATTTTTTTTCAGATTGTTAGAACTCAAATTTAAGTGAATAAATCCAATGCTTTGTTATAAAGACTAGCACTAACTGAGGCACACATCTTCCCAGTGTAGCCACTGTTAAAATATTGAGAGAGATATATATATATATATATTACAGTCTTGTATGTGTGTGTGTGTATATAGAGCATTGTTAAAATATATTGCTTGGTTGCTATCTTATAACCCTAAAATGAGTCTTAATTTACTGGTTTATCCCAGGAGTATGTATGTGTTGCGTATGGCCATTCTTGTGGGTCATAATTCTGTTTTTCTATTACTCTGTGTAATAAAATTTAAGCTGTTCCTCTACCAGATTGGGACAAAAATTTACATCGTGGTACAAAACTCTGTTCTAAGCATTCGAACAGCTCTTTATACCGGTGTTTCTATAAACACATGTCTATAGTTGGTTTCCACAGTGGTGATGTGTTCCTGTCTTAAGCTGATGCAATTTCAGATGCTAGTTGCGTGTCCCACGTGTTATCACAAAGAGAACGTCCCCTAACCATTGACGTTAATACTGTCATTGTCTGTTTGGGAGACACGTGGTGACAGTGTAAAATAGCTCCTCTTGTCGGTAGGATCTCCTTAGATCTTTTCTGTAATGATGCAAATAGGCTTTATTATGAGTTATTTTCAGGGAAATTGAACAAATAGTACCCATAACTGTGTTTTTAGCAGTGATTATATGGTCCTGCTAGTCAAATATCTATGAAATGTGCGTTGTTTTTTTTCATGGGTCCCTCAACCGAATTTGCAATTTAGGCTAAAATAAAGAACTTGCCAAATTCCTTTATTTATGACCACCTTTTTTGTTTTTTCCTTGCCGCCTTTGCCAACCATTTTATACTCTGATCAGATCACATTTCATGTTTACACAAATTGGTGCAAACATTCTAAAAATACCTCGGGTAAGGTGACCCTTGGAGAGAGTTTGAAATGACCTTGGATAAAGAGAAGTTGGGCGTTTTAGGACTTGAATCCAATGTTGCTGCACTACGTGCATGATGCACAGCTCTATTATTTATATAGCCGCCAACAAATTCCGCAGCGCTGTACAATATTAAATCCAAAACAGCTTTTTAAGTCCTTGCGGCAACAGATAAGGAGGTTTAACCCCCTAAAGGACCAATGATGTTAAATGCCATCATCACAATCCGTTGCCTTCATGCAACATCCAGTTTATTCGGCTTTTATCAATATACACAGTTATGCCATAGCTAACTGAGTAATCAATTTCGTTATAATACTGGATTGTAAAAGAGAAGGTTGATGGGATGGAATTGTTAGAATTCTATTATTAGTGCTATATGGGTTATTGCTCTTTATGATAGAAGCTGGCTGTTGGCACATGTGCTGTGATACATTGTGTTCTTTGTGCTTCATGGGGAAAACCTAATCCGAAACAGCTGGAGAGTCAAAGGTTGGCAATCCCAGTTCTGTTTATAAATGTATTCACATTTCTCTCCGAAGCGATGTAACCCAATTATATGGTGTTTTAATTGCCTGTCTTCAGTCTCCATATTTGGACATCTCCTCGGTTTAGAACAGGAGTTCCCAGATGTTTTAAAACTACAACTTACAGGATGCTTTGAGCATTCTAAAGGCATGCAAAGCATCATGGGAGCTGTAGTTCTACAACATCCGGGGATCAACCTTTTGGGCACCCCTGATTTAGAACATATAACTCATTCAGTTTTTTTTTTCAGGAACATCTTTCCTTCAAACTTGGTTTCTGCAGCATTCCAATCGGTGAGAGAGAGCTTTCTGATCACATTCATACTTGCATGTGTCTATTCTGTCTCCATAACCTCCCTAATGAAATGTATATTTTGTGTCTCCAGTATTCCACCAGTTATAGACTTGAATTAAGAAATGCATCAGACCCAGCAGGAGGCTATAACATTACATCGGACAAGGTGAGGGCCACTATTGGCATGCACAGTCATAAAGCGTCTTGGGGGGGAGGGGGTTATGAGCCTTTATTTTTCTCGTCTCTTGCTCATGTGTTACGTTTTTATTTCTCAGGTTCCTTATGGGCAAGAGGTGGAGGGGATGAACATCCTGGGACTGGTAGTCTTTGCCATTGTTTTTGGAGTGGCGCTAAGAAAGTTGGGAGAAGAGGGCGAGATTCTTATTCGATTCTTCAACTCCTTCAATGAAGCTACTATGGTCCTTGTGACCTGGATTATGTGGTGAGTCTCTTTCTGAGTTGGTAGCAGGCAGAAAACCAAGGATCACACACGGTTTCAATTAAACTTGTGCACATATGCCTTTCATCTGGGCCTGATTAGTCTATAGATGACCAAATCGATTCATTTGGATTTCCTGATTAATTAACTTGTTTGTCTATGAATTGACAGATGATTTGTGCACCAGTCTTGTTTCAATACGTCTAATGTTAATTTTATACTTTAGAATCTATACTATTAAGAGAATTGTTTTTTTTCACTTGTGATGTGCATGGTATTTTTTAAAATTGTTTATATTCTTGTTTTGCTAATGTTCAGGATTTCTTCTTTTTATACATTGCATTAGAAATGCAAACCATAACAATCTTAAACCTTTTTATTTGACCTTCACATGGTACTGATATCATTCTGAATCGATTTAATTCTCCTGCTTGTACCAGGCACTCCCGACTGGTAATAAGTGTTCACTCACTTTAATGTTCGTTGAGACTAGTATCCATTAGCCAATATTTACTTACACCTTGCCAATGACATGTCCTGTGCTGGTCAGTCTATTAATAAACCTATTTTCTGTCTCTGAAGGTATGCCCCCGTGGGTATCATGTTCCTGGTCGCCGGTAAAATAGTGGAAATGGAAGACGTAATCCAGCTTTTCTCTAGTCTTGGGAAGTACATTTCCTGTTGCATTCTGGGACACTTCATTCATGGATTCATCGTCCTCCCACTAATTTACTTTGCCTTCACTCGGAAGAACCCTTACCGTTTCCTCTGGGGCATCTTTAGTGCTCTTGTCACTGCATTTGGGACATCATCAAGGTTTGTATCACATGATAGTACTGTTACAAAATATCCTACACTTCAATTCTTGAGAACATACACAGAAAATGTAAAGGAATGCTCGAAGTAGACGCTACAGGTCCCTGTATTGTTTAGATTGCTTGTTTGTTGGCACGGTTTCCTGGTTTAAGATCAAACCTTTTAGGAACAGTCTGATATAAACTGGGACTTTTCTCTGTGCTGAGACTTCCCCAATCTGTGTAATGAGCAATTAGCAATTCTACTTTATTCATTTACAATCCATGTGTTTCATTTGTGGAAATTTTAAACATTCAATGATTCTCCATGCTGGCTACGACTAGTTTAAAAAAAAAAAAAAAATTATATATATAAATTTTTTTAATTTTTTTTTTTTTTTTTTTGTTCTGTATGTGTCACAAGTAGTTTTATGCCCTATTGGATGTGTAGGGACCACTACCACTCCTTTCTGAAATGCAATGTCATCTCTTTCCGCATTTCAAAAAAGGTCACAGAGTAATGTGATACTCTTCACTTCTACTTTAACTGGTCATATGCTAAAACAAGAGTATGACTACCTTCAATGTAATGTGAGTAGTGTATACATGGAACCACCTGCAGACGTACTGGATATTGGTAGAGAAGAGTCAGACCTTAAAAGTGTAAGGGGTAGCTTGAGCTGCTGAGTTTTTACAGCTAGGAGAAATCTGGGCAGAATATACAAGTAACTCTGAGTTCGAGTGCCTATAGGTAGCGAAATTGAACTACCTGACTATGTCTTCTGTATCGGAAAGCTAGTAGTCTAAACCAGGTGTAGGCAACCTTTTGCACTCCAGATGTTGTGGACTATCTCCGCTGATGGGTTTCTAGTGTTATAACGGTGAGCATTATGGGGGATGTAGTCCACAATATCTAGAGTGCCGAAGATTGCCTACCCGTGAGCAAAACCATTGTGTGTTTGTTTTTGTCGTGGGAGGCAGGTAAATAACATGCGTTACATTAACTAGACAACTGACTTTTAAAAGGAAATTTAATATCAAAGGTGTCTTGTCTGCAATTTGTGTAGTTAGCAGGAGTTTATTTTGGGGTTGATCCTTGTTGCTTCTGGCAGCATACTGGCCTTGGGTAATTAATGCCACCGCCACAGGACCCTGATCAGCACATAGTGCCCAGTATCTATACATGTTTGTCATGATCCTCAATTATTAGGAATAACGCTTTGACAGTGGCCCCTGATATAAACCCTGAACTAAATCAAATGCCAAGAAATTTGTTGTAGTGAAAGTTACTGAACTCTAAACGTGTTCTTTATTTTCAGTTGCAGGGTTAAAGGGTGGAGTTGAAATATGTATTTTTTTTTTTTTTTTTTTGTGTGTGTGTATAGACTTTTCAAGCTAAACAAAACCTGTTTGGTGGTTTTATACCACACCTCTGTTCATGGGAACAGCTGTTGGGCTGGTAAACAAAATGCATATGTGCTTATGATATAGAATGTATCTCTAACCTGAGTGTGTAATTTGGGGGTAGGCTGATCTGACTACTCGCTCTCTTTCTTCCAGCTCTGCCACACTGCCACTGATGATAAAATGTGTGGAGGAACGGAATGGGGTATCTAAGCAAATCAGCAGATTTATCCTTCCAATAGGAGCAACGGTCAATATGGACGGAGCGGCTCTGTTTCAATGTGTGGCTGCAGTCTTCATCGCTCAGCTCAATAGCATTTCCCTCGACTTTGTCCAAATCATCACAATCCTGTGAGTAGGACTGATCAACGCTAGCTTCATACAATCTTCTTTTGTTAACTCCTGCAGACGTGCAGTGTCTTCCTGGAGCAAAGTAGTAACTAATGCAGAAATCTAACTTAAATTTTTGTTTCCTTAAAGGTTCTCCCCAATAGAAGATATTAATTGTTCCCAAAAACTTAGACTTTTGTAGAGTTAACTTGTTCTCCTACAATAGTTTATACAGTGGAATTCTATAGATCATACGTTACAGCTGTACATTGGGCTTGTCAAAGGGATGTCTAACAGATGTATAGCATGTATTTAGTGTGCAAGATTAGTGGTTATAGTTCTGGCATGTCTCTTATGATATATCATACATAGATTACACTTTATTACATACCGTGTCATTTGTACATTAATGGATGACCAATCCACCTTATAAACTGCTCATCCTTTTTATTTTTGCTCCAAAGTGTAAGTTGAGCCTCAAGCAACTGGCATTCTGTACAATGCCATGCCAACTTCTAAACCAGAAATACGTGCAATGGGGCTTATAGTTTCTAACAAGGAAGTGGCCAATTAAATTGACTAATTGGCCTTTATCTACGTCACGTGTGAAACCGGTATTGCGTCTTTTTATAGATTACCCATCACCTTCCTGTGTTCCGCTCCTCCGGGGCCCCCCCTAATGTTATGATTTTATTTTATTTCCTAGTGTTACCGCAACAGCCTCCAGTGTGGGGGCTGCTGGGATCCCAGCTGGCGGTGTTCTCACCCTTGCCATTATCCTAGAGGCCGTGGGACTTCCAACACATGATATCTCTCTTATCCTTGCTGTGGACTGGCTGGTGTAAGTAGAGCTCCACGTTTCCTCCTTCCTCTAACAATAATCAGTGTGGTTATGTAAAGCATCGTAGGGACAGCAGTCCATAGGCTTTGCCAGAGTAATGGTTTGAATTTAATTCCACTAGTTATAAATAAATAAATCCCAGTTATTTTAAATGTCAGTCTAATTTATTCCTCTGCATCTTGCTATATTTGGAAACCAAAACACCTTGTCCTAAATTTTATTTGGACCTGGTCACTGAGAATGTGCTGAGTAGCCAGACTCCTCCATGCTGTTTAGTTTGTGAGAAATGCACTTTGAAACTAAATATTGGGAGGACGTGTATCTAAGCAGCCGGGTCAAACCTGCTCTGGTTTCTTGTTTTATGGGAAAGAGCAGCTGCAGCCTCTGGCTGTCCCGAGAGCAAATGGCTCGCACTACGGGTGTTGGGTAAGAAAGAAAAGCAAGACACCAACCTTATGAGCAGCTGCTCTTTTATTAAAATTTTATTTATTTCTGAAAGAAGGGTTAATTTTCTTCAGAACTAAAACTGGTGCAAGTATATCCCTTCTCACTCTCTTCCTTTTCTCTACAGTGATCGCACATGCACAGTACTCAATGTGGAGGGTGACGCTTTTGGGGCAGGTCTCCTGCAAGTCTATAGCGACCGTACAGCCAAGAAGAACCCTGAAGATGTAGATCTTACTGGAGTAAAAGTGGATTCATCGGCAAAGACTCTTGAGGATGATCCACTCTTAGAGAAGGATGTTAAAGTGTTCATAGATGGAGCAAGGTCAGAAGAAGAAGAGTCTAAAATGTGATGAATCGATGAAATGCGTGATCATGTCTACAAAAGGACTTTTTTGTTTTTTTAAATATGTACATTTTATTTTTTACTTGGACCATAACTTATCTTCTAGATCAAGGACTTGACGGTACCTTCTCCACTTGGGTGCCCTTAATATTTATCCCATAATTATTGTAAATGGACACATTGATATTAATCTGCCTCCCTTTTAAGTCTTAGGTTTTATAAATGCTGCAGGGATCTGTCTCTGACGGACAGCCCCAGTGTGTGTGTGTGTGTGCTATGAGAGAATGTTGCTATGTATAGTGGTTCTGGGTTAGTTGTATGCGTGTAATTTTATTGTGTGATAATTATACAATTTTATCAAGGATCCTTGTAAATATTGGACCAAATGAAAGCGGCAGGCACACGCTGAGCTGTGTCCTCCTGTATACAGGCATCATGTAAGTCAATCATGATAAATACTGTTTCCCAACCCATCCCTGTAATGCTGTCCACATGCACCTGACCTCCGGGTTGTGCATTAAAGTCTGTTACAAACGCTCGAACACCCCAAGCACTTACACTGGCGTTGGTCAAAATGGATACAACCCTCCCGATGTTTTCCAGCCTTAAGTTGCAGCTCCTCGCTATAGCTGTATAACAGCTGAGGACGTTACCTTGTTTGGACACTCTAAATTAAACTGACTTTTTATAGACCGAGGTAAACACAGATTGGGCTGTGCCCAAGGCTGCAAGGTCAGGAGATAAAAGGATTGTGGAATGGAGAAAAGAACATAATAAAGAACGACCAAAAATGTTTGTGCTTGTCTTACTGGTTTGTGGGAGGCGGTGGTTTGCCCTGCATATGGGGTCATCGTATAAGAAAGAATGACAGTCACAATTTATGGAATAATTCAGCTCATGTGAATAAAGTAGGGTAACTGTTTCAGTAGGTATCACCTGGCTTTGAAAGACTGTCTGAAATTTTGTGCAAATAAATGCCACGAAAACCAGAATCGTTTTATGTGGACAATACTGATATCTAGGCTTTCATTTATAGGTTGGCTTGGGAGCACAATATCTGTTCCACCAGAAAATAAATATGCGAAGACTGCAATGCTTAAATTTCTTTCCTCGTTATCCATGTAACCGTGGACGATGAGCTAACTCTCAATGGATGGATAATAGATATGTGAAATTTGTACATAATCACATTGGTCTTTGAGTACGGTTAGTAGAGCCTAAGTTTTGTCTAATACAGATGAATTAAAGGTAGGCAGTCAATGTAATAGAGCAGCAGGAAATGCTAGCAGAATGCTTGGTTGTATAGGGAGAGGTATTAGCGGTAGAAAGAGGGAAGTGCTCATGCCATTGTACAGAACACTGGTGAGACCTCACTTGGAGTATTGTACGCAGTACTGGAGACCGTATCTCCCGAAGGATATTGATACTTTGGAGAAAGTTCAGAGAAGGGCTACTAAACTGGTTCATGGATTGCAGGATAAAACTTACAAGGAAAGGTTAAAGGATCTTCACAGGTATAGCTTGGAGGAAAGACGAGACAGGGGGGATATGATAGAAACATTTTAAATACATAAAGGGAATCAACACAGTAAAGGAGGAGACTATATTTAAAAGAAAAACTACCCCCAACAAGAGGACATTGCCTCTCTAATTTAAGACTAAGATTTAAAAATATCCGGAAGTGTTACTTTACTGAGAGGGTAGTGGATGCATGGAATACCCTTCCAGCTGATGTATTAGAGGTTAACAGAGTGTAGGAGTTCAAGCATGCATGGGATAGGCATAAGGCCAGGGACTAATGAGAGTATTTAGAAAATTGGGCAGACTAGATGGGCCAAATGGTTCTTATCTGTCACATTCTGTTTCCTTGCACCATAGACTACAATAAGCTATAGAAGTTATGGTGCTCAGTGTTATTTTACGGAAGGTTAAATTGTAGATGGTTGTATTAGTGCTTTGTGGAATTCTTGGTGAGATAGTTAGATATAACAGAAAAATATTTCTATTGTGCCAAGAATTTGTTTTGCACATTTAATTTTAAAATATCCACCGAAAATATAATAGGTTATTGTAGGCCTGTCTGGCTAACATTTGGCCTTAAAACTGGGGTGGAGACAGGATCTATTTTGCATAATTTTTCTGAGGGGAAAAAATATGTAAAATATTCAGGTTGAGGTTCTGTATTGAATTTGACATTCCATATGTCACACACCCAGTATTCTTTTAGTCATGCCTGTTGGTGTCGTCTGTCTTCCTCTTCCGTCAAAAGCACTCTTTCTGCAGGTTTCACTCCCTTGCACCCCCATGTGTCACTTTGCATCACTGAACTGGATCACTACTCTGACTGCTAAAATGTCCAATGACATCAGGTAATGGAATTTGAGGACACCCACCAGTTGCTTAGCAACACAAGCTCCAGTGCTTCATGTAACAATACTGTGTACATACAGCACTATATTGGCACTGTACACTGCTTCAGTATCTATCGAATAATGATTCCATTAGAACAAGCCTGATTATTTTAAAGATCCTTTTATTTAGATTATGGACATAATACTGGCATTTAGGACCACATTATAAAAATGGCAAAACACAATTCATAATTAATGGGTTAATATAATTACATCTTTGTTAACGCCTAATTAACTTTTTCAGTGAATGACTGTCTTTGTGCGTTTGACAAACTAGAACTGCCCAGTAGTTTTAGTAATTGACAAGCAGTGCAATCTACCCTCCTCCCTCTCCCCTAAGACCAATGCATTGGAGTACAATCCCTTTATTTTTTGCATTGGCATCTCTTCATAGCCTTAAAGGAGAGAATTACTTAACTTTGGAACATGATGATTTCAGTTATTTATATAGGCTTCCCTTACTGCACAGACATTTGACACTTTAACAGAACATTCTAAACATCAGCACGGCCTGCTGCAGTAGTTATTCTGCCAGGTGTTGCCCTATATTTTAGAATGGTCTGAGTCTGACTTGTCTCCCAGGCCCTTGCACTGGACCCAGTGTTTGGCAGGAGAAGCCGGTTTCCTAAAATAAAATCCAGCTGATGTAGGACTGTGTGCATTGGCTGAGAGCGATCATTTGACGCTCTTGGCCAATAAGCATGGTCCCACTTACTTCTATAGCGCTAACTGGAAGCAAGGTATGCAGGACCCAGGTAAGTTGTCAAACTACTAAAACACTCAATCACAATAACTACGGCAGCAGCCTCTAGTATTCATGGTGGCAGCAGCCCCAAAGATTTAATAAAGCTGCTTGTCTTGTTTATCAGGATAGCTGAAGGAGGCAGTCTAACTCGATCTGTAAATACACAACCAGTTTCCAGGATCTCACTTTCCAGGAGCCTCTGGGGGTGTATGGGGGAATGGGATCTAGAGAGACCAACCTGTTTCTTTCATTTCTTTGGAAGAAGGACAGTATTTGGATGCTTTTATTTATTTTTCCTAATATTTCCATAGACATTAAGTCCATTACATGTACAAGAATGTTCGTACTTAAAACCAGATTACAGGCAGCAGTTAAGGCCCCAAGAAGTTGGGTATGGAGCTTATTCACTAAGCAGTGATGTGCAAACATTTCTACAGAACAAAGCAATAAGAAGAGTGTTGAATGTTTGTCTAGTTTACCAGATGGAAAATTATCTGTTTATCAATTCTCCACAACTCGCTGCTCAGTGAGAGGAGGGAAAAAGAGTTTATAGATTTTTATATTCTCAAATACCTTAATTTGGGTAAAAGGGAACCTTTTGTGGATTGTAATTAAACTGGATTACATGTTGAAATACGAAACAATCTCGCATTAAATTGTAACCTGAAAACAGACGTGGCTCAATCACTTGGCCAATTCAGTGTGTCTCTAATGCAATTACAGAGGAAATCTTTCCATTTTTTATGACTATATTTACCAAAATGTTGAGACACTCTATGGTAGTTTTTTTCTTTTCTTTTTTTGTATTCATATAAATTCACCATTTAGGGGTTACCCCCCTTTTTGTTTCTACCCATATTCGTGCCTCATTCATATCTAGGCTCTCCTTTTTTCATTTTTAGTTACTTTCCACAGGCCTATTAACGCCTCAATGACCAATTATGGTCTATATTATAATCCATCTTTAAAAAAAAAAAAATATATATATATATATATATATATATTTCCAAATAAATTACATCTCACTCATTAAGCGACATCCTCACTTTATGTATGATGTTACTGATGCTACATAAGAACACAGCATCCTTAACCACTTAAGGACCGAACAACTGTCTATGCCGTCACACAGTTCAGGGCTTCAATATCCAGTGACGGCATCGACAGTCATGCAACAAAAGTACCTGCTGGTACCAAGGAACCCTAGGTATTTTTTGATACCTAGAAATGCCTTCTATCAGCTAAGGGCAGAAATATTGGCCCTAGGCTCTGTTTTTAGAGCTCAAAGCGAGCGCTGCAATCAGGGATTGAAATGGAGATTGAAATCCCCATTGTTACAATGTGGTGTGAGCAGGGTTAAATACCTGCACACACCAGGACACCCACAGGTATCAGTCGACATCTGGGGGTTTTAGTGAACACAAGCAGAGCAAAAACTGCTTCCTTAAATGAAAAACAAAGTAGAAGTTTTGGATTCTTTGATTGCTATTAAATTAATAGACTCGGCAAATGAAATTTGCCAACTTGTCCTAAAAAAAAGGTGTTCCCCCCCTATAGTTACACTAACTGTGTTTTGTTGATTTTGTAGTATTTTATTTGTACTATGTTTTATGCATACATATATGGTGTAAAAAAAACAACAACCCTACAATAATGTGTATGGGTGCACTTAAAGAGCAAGTGGTAAATTATGGTGGAAGAAATTCATAGGAAAACTGCTAGTCGTGAACACACAGAATCTCAGAATACTGTCACTCATGAAGGGGGGTAGTTTTTGTTCAGATTTAGTCCCATGTTTAAGGTTCCATATTGCCGATCCATTTTTCGACCCAGATGTCTATCCCTATTTAGACAGTAGCAGATATTTTCAAAGTAAAATCATTCCCCAAATCCGATTGCCCTGTCTGGCCAGCAATCTTTATTTTCCTGGAATGTTAGAGGACATAAAACTACCAAACAACATTTGTGATCAGTCCTAGCAGTCTCATATTAAGAATGACAAAGTCCCTTTAATAGGTTCATTCCTATAGTGTGAAAAAAACACGATCAAGATTTGTACTGAAGCAGAAGCTATGTCTTTCACAAGGACATTTTTAAGCACTTGGCATTTTTTCTCATACCCACTGCCAGGAAATTGCCCAGCAGTTTTTTTACAATAATCGAGCATTGTATAGCATTCGTGATTTGGAAGTCTATGGAGTGCTCCTTTCATAATGCGGAAGTGCAGTTTCCACATTTTCAGTGGGCTGAAGAGAGAAAAAAAAACTACAAGTGCCAGGCTCTGAAGCAATTTGACCAAAGGATAGTGCCCTTAATGCACCATAACTACTGCAATGAGCTGTACTGTGGTATTTTTTACCTAAAGATAAAAATCACTGGTCAGTGCTTTGCTATACCAAGCATTCTGGACAACAGACATTGTTATTATTGGTATTTACATAGCGCCAACTAATTACGCAAAGCCTTACAATATTATGAAAGTGGGGGAAATTTACAATAAATGAGACGGTGACACAGGAACAATAGGTAGATGAGGGCCCTGCTCAAACCAGCTTACAGTCATTGCAAAATTTAGGCCAAAGTAGCTGATCTGAAGAAAAAAAAAAATGGAATTATTTTTAAATGTGGTTGCTTTGGCCTAATGTGCAATCCCCTTAAAAACTGTCATATGACAGTGCATGACTGCAACTAACATCATCCATCCAGCAGATGGGGGCTGGAATTAACTTGCCCCACTTTCTACATGTCCAAAGTATGCTAAATATGGAGTCACAAAAGCTAAATATTCATGCCCTAGGACCCAGGTGATGTGAATACCCTGACAGTATACGTCAAACTCCTCCTCAAAGCATTCTGGAGAGCAGAGAAAACCTGCATCTTTGTTAAGCTCGAGATCTATTGAGCAATGCTGCCACCAGGTGGCAAGAAAATTATCAAACTTTGATAAATCAAATATACACTATATATTTTTACATACACAATATATATATATAAAATTACAAACATTATACATACATACACGCACACCTATTAAAACAGTTATGTTTCAAAGCAGTTATATATTTGTCTTACATATGCTCTGTGTTGGTTATTCTTTAAGTTCTATTATCAGTAAACCTGTTTAACTTTACAAGGATTTTTAAACCCTTGTTCCCTACTGCGTATCTCTGTGCCACTTTCCAGTGGCAGGTTTTGAACTCCCTTATCCACCATAATTAAGGTGTAATGTTTGTTATCAAATACTGTGATAATTAATTCCAATCTGTTCCTTTGCATTAAAATTCCTGTTTTACCTGCCCCTTAGCCGGAGTAGGGCAGGATTAGGATACTCTGGTTCCTCTATGGCTTTTTCCCCAAATTTCAGACGCAGTAGCTGATGGTAATTGTTTGGGACCTGCGCAGTTCCTCCAGCAAAATTCACAGTTTGCAATGGCTGCAGAAAGCGCTCTGGGAACTCAACATCCTGGGGATGTCCAGTCCAGGAGTCCCGTGTCATTACACCATCTCGTGGGTAGAAAGGCCACAGGTCTACGTGTAGATGATTGGTTTGGCTGTACTGCACCCTAAAGAAATCTCCTTCTACAGCTCGTTCCCACACGTATCCATCTGCATCTACCAGGGAACCTCCCTGGGCCCCCCGCAGCTCTGCACACAGTGTAACATCCTCCAGGTATATTCCCAAATCTACATCATAGTCCCATGGTATGATATCAGCATTGCGAGCTGCCCCAAGCAGGCTACCTCCCTCTAGCCAGTAGCGTACTCCATTTGCTTCCAGTACCTTTATGACATGGCGTGCAGTCGCTCTCAGAGCACGGAGACAGCAAGGGGGTGTCCAACGTCCCTCATAAAGATACTCTGGGGTCTCGCCAACTACAGTCCCAAAGCAGCGTGGAGTCTCCTTGGAGCAGCCAAACCATCGCTCACCTCCATCCAGTCCTCGCACCAGTCTCACACCTAATGCCCTCATGGTTTTGGCTTCCTCCTGCCGCTCCGCCTGATCGGCTTTCCATCGCCCATGATCAGTTGCTGGAAATGGTGTGCGTGGGAATGTAACACCCTCCACTATCTGCACACCCCACCCGCGAAGAGATGCTTGAATAAAAATTGCACTCTGCAGTGGCCGGGCTAAAGGGTAAGGCAGTTCAAACAGGTCACGGGAACGTAACAGAAGCACTGCAGTTCCACTCACTGCTCCACAGGATTCACCAGTGGTTGTTGGTCTATAACTTGCTGTCCACTCTTTCAGGGATACATTAAGGTGCAGGCATTGCAAGGGAAGGCCTGCAGCAGCAGCCACAATCCTAATACCTGGAGCAGCATCCCGCAGGCCCCGAGCCATCCTGTCTAGTAAATCAGGGGGATTCAGGGCAGTTCCATCAGGGACCAAAGCAACAAGACGGGTGTGAATATATGACTCAAGTCGGGATGCAAAGCTGGGTTGGTCAGGTGAGGGATGCAGTTTCAATATGCGCAACCCAGGGTCAGGAGGGTACGGCAGTGCATCAGATGCAATAAGGAGGTGGAGTGAAGGACGAGAGCGCAGAAATGACTGGTTCAAGTCTGAAAGGCCATGTTCAAATGTGCGAAACTCACGCACAATGACCGTGATGCCTGGTGCCAGTGCTGGCAGGGTGCCTTGGCGTACATTGGATCGGAACTGCAAGTGCCATGTGTAGTACAACAGGAGAGCATTGCAGAGCAGAGTCACAGCAATGAGAATACGGCAGAGGGGACAACGCATTTTAAACCCATCACAAAGAAAAGGCAGTCGGGAACCTGTGGTGCACAAAAAAAATAAAAAATGAGGAGTGAGAAAAGGGCTCCATGTAATAAATTTGTTTTAACATGAAAAAGCAAATACATCTGAGATGTTGGGGTCGCTGGCTGAGGTACCAGGAATGGATTCATTTTTCAGACTGCCTGTTTTGTCCTCCAAATGATTAAAGCACAAGCACAAGTAATACACTTTATATAATAAATGAAAAATGCCATCTTACCAAACAAATAACATCAGAGAAAGCAGCACTTATTCATCAAACATTGCTTCTATGTACGACACTGCACAAGACAAAAAAAAAAAGGTCTAGTTTCCTTCATAGATCACAGCGATTCTTTTCTTTCACACCAGTTGCCCCCTTAAAAGGACCACTCTAGGCACCCAGACCCAGCTAGGGTTAACCCATTTTTTAATAAACATAGCAGTTTCAGAGAAACTGCTATGTTTATTAATGGGTTAAGCCTTCCCCCAAAGCCTCTAGTGGCTGTCTCATTGACAGCTGCTAGAGGCGCTTGCGTGCTTCTCACTGTGATTTTCACAGTGAGAGCACGCCAGCGTCCATAGGAAAGCATTGTAAATGCTTTCCTATGCGACCGGCTGAATGCGTGCGCAGCTCTTGCCGCGCGTGCGCATTCAGCCGACGGGGAGGAATGGAGGAGGATCGGAGGAGGAGAGCTCTCCGCCCAGCGCTGGAAAAAGGTAAGTTTAAACCACTTTCCCCCTTCCAGAGCCGGGCGGGAGGGGGACCCTGAGGGCACTATAGTGCCTGGAAAACGAGTATGTTTTCCTGGCACTATAGTGGTCCTTTAAACACATACTTTCCAGATATATATCCTACATTTATTAAAGGGGGAACGGTCACTTGTAATGTTTACTTATCCCCATATTTAAAGGAACACTACTGCATTAGGAATACAAATGTGTATTCCTAACGCTATAGAGCCTTAGTCACCGTTAAAGTGTCTAGGGCCCCGTTCTGCGGCAAATCATTGGTTAATTAACCATTTATTCACTTACCTTAATCCAGCGCCGGGTTCCCTCAGCATTAGTGACCTCTCCTCCTCCATCGACGTCAGCTCCTGAGTGGAGGCGAATGTGCATGCATGGACAGAGGCGCTCGCGCATTCAAACTCGCCAATAGAACAGCATTACACAACGATTAACTCCATGTAAATCGCGGAAGCATCCTCGCCGGATTAACCCTTCAGCTGCAGTGTTAAAACTAGGGGGCCTGGCACCCAGACCACTTCATTGAGCTGAAATGGTCTGGGTGCCTATAGTAGTCCTTTAACAAATATGTAATAAAAATGAAAATCTAGACTTCTTCATCCTGCGACTGGGCACCTTCACCTTAGCTCTCTGTCAGTCATTGTGCTAAGCTCTGTTCTTTACACCTGATATTCAGCATAGATAGAGTACAGAGAGACGAGGGAAAAAATGAAACAATGTTTCGATTTCTCTTCCACGTTTGCCCTGATTTTGTTTTTCTGAACTGGATTATGAGGTAAAATTGCTAAATCTTAAAATAACAACATTTATAGGATTATTTTCAATGTTTTATTAAGTAATACCTATCACAGAGAAGTGACAGTTATTATCAGAGACAGTGTATAGATAATTAGGTCAGTAATTACTTATTTAAGAGTCAGTAAGGATGTATAAACATACTTAGGTCGCTGACATCCTCTTCCCGTGTAGTCACCTAGAGCATCTTATATCATCGGCTTTCCTCGTGAGAAACATCACTTTCTTTTTAAAAATAATTGCTTCCTTCTTTGCAATTACCAATCCCTGGATCGGGCAATTTCTTTTGCTAAAGGGCAATTCCCTCCTGACAAAGTCTTGTTACTGTAGCTTTTTTATATCTGGAAATGGAAAAATAGAGTATTAAATACACACATAATTATGTAATATATATGAAGCTAAAGATGTTCACTGATATTCAGAATACAAGCAGATGTACAGTTTTTAGTGTATATACTATTGTTGAGTCTGTAGCTGTATTCTTTTATAATGTGATTATATTTCTTTAGGATATAACATTTTCCACAAGGACCTCTCACAAAAACCACACACTATTAGATTACCTGAGTGCAGACAGATAGATATAGGTACAATGTCCTCCCATGAATGAAAGTGACTGTACTAGAGATGAGAGCAGCTGGAGCACTAAGCTATTTACACCACGTGTTTTCCGGTGTGCTAAACACCCACCCCATTCAAATAAAACTTTATTGTTCTGTACACTCTCAGACAAAAACACTTCCATTTATTTTATTACAGAACAGTCACAGTCAGGTGACACTGGCAGCTCCCCAGCCTGATTGCTCCTGTTATATGTCTCTAGCGTCTGTTTTCAGTCTCCCACATGTTAGCCTAGGCTGTCTTTAATTCTTATTTTATTACACCAAACCGGAGCTGTTTTATCGAGTGCCTTGACAATGTTTTTTTGTTTTGTTTTTTCGTTCCTGCTGTGTACACTTCAAAATAATATATATATATAATGGTATCACAAGCATGTTCGTAACTCTAAGCTCTGAAAAAATAAATATTGACAACAACAACAAAGAATTTGGAGTGCCAGATGTGATTGGAAGCTGGATAAAGACCTACAAAAACACATGGGATGAAAAAGAGAAGGAATTCTTCCCCATCCTACTTCCAAACGTGCTCGCGCCACTTTCTTCCACAAACATTACATCATTATCTCCTGCTAACATTCCATCACCAGCATCTGCTGCTAACATTCCATCCCAGCATCTCCCAACATTCCATCACAGCATCTCCTTCTAACATTCCATCACCAGCATCTCCCAACATTCCATCACCAGCATCTCCTGCTAACATTCCATCACCAGCATCTCCTGCTAACATTCCACCCCCCCCATCTCCTGCTAACATTCCATCCCAGCATCTCCTGCTTACATTCCATCATCAGCATCTCCCAACATTCCATCACAGCATCTCCTGCTAACATTCCATCATTATCTCCTTCTAACATTCCATCCCAGCATCTCCTGCAAACATTCCATCATCAGCATCTCCTGCTAACATTCCATCCCAGCATCTCCTTCTAACATTCCATCATTATCTCCTGCTCACATTCCATCCCAGCATCTCCTAACATTTCATCCCAGCATCTCCTGCTAACATTCCATCATCATGACCTACTAACAAACATTCCGTCATATCATCTCTTTCTAACATTCCAACATAGCATCTCCTGCTAACATTCCATCAGCATCACCTACTAACAAACATTCCATTACCAGCGTCTCCTGCTAATAGTACATCATCAGCATCTCCTAATGAACATTCCATCACCAACAGATATTGCTAACATTTTATCAATAGCATCTACAGCAAATATTCCATCAACGGCATCTTCTGCTAATATTCTATCATTAGCACCTTCTGCTAACAGCCAATCATAAGCATCACTTACTAACAAACATTCCATCACAGAATCTTCTGCTAACATTCCATCAACAGCAACTCCTGCTGAACATTTCATCCCCAGCATATCCTGTTGGACATTCAATCAGCAGCATATATACTGAATGAATATTCCATATTCCACATCTATTGAGCATTCCATCACCAGAATCTTCTACTGAATAACATCTGCATCTACAAGATGGCCAAGAAGTCTGAATAGCATAGTAATAGCAAGAGGTAATTGAATGACATCACCAGTATCTCCAGCGAAATATGCCATCACCTGCATCTAATAGTGAACATTTGAGGAACATTTCCTACTTCACATCAATGAAATAAATATAATTCCCTGCTGGACAACTATCCTACCTAACATCTACCCAAAACATTAAATACTTTGCATGTCATAGAGAAAATCTATACTTTGTGGTCTCCAGCAGAACATTCTATTCTTGGCATCTCCTGGAAACTTTCCATTTGGAGCAAATTATGCAGAACATTCTTTTATTAATATCTCCTGGAACTTTTTCCATGGGTAGTATCTCTTGTAGAGCATTCCATACTTATCATCCAATGCAGAATATTCTATACTTTGCATTTCGTTGAAAAACATTTGATTACTAGCACATCCTGCATAATATTGTGTACAGACCATGACACAGTTAACTCCTGCAGAATATTCCTCACTTAGTATTCCATACTCAATATCCCTTGCAAGTGCAACATATACCATACTTCGTATCCTATGCACAGTATTCCATCCTTAGTATCTCCTGCAGAAAATTCCACATAGCACAAGTTTTGCAGAATATTCTTTACTTGGGATGTCCTACAAACACAGTTCTCATCCCTTGCAGAAAATCCCTGACCTCTTGCAGAATTGTCCATTCTCAGTATCTCTTGCAGAATGTTCCATTCATATTGTCTCTTGCAGAATTTTCCATTCTTGGGGTTTCTTGCAGAATGTTCCATGTTTATTATCATCTCCTGCAGAATATTCCATATTTAGCATTAATTTCCCAATTCATTGCCTAGCAACCCCTTAGTTCTAATACAGCCCATTCCAGTAACCCCTCCATCCCCAGTGCAACACTAACCCCTCCTCCAACCTCTAGCTCCGCCCTCTGCAGAACTTTCCATACTAGCCCCGCCCCTTGCAGACTGTCCTTTCTTAGACCCTCCCACTAACGTCTCTTCCATGGTACTCATTCTATACCAGACGTGGCAGGGGGCGTAACTATACGTCGGGGCGTGGCTTAGACCCTGGTTTCTATCCTTGTCCGTGAAGAAGACAGTGGGCGTGGCAAGCAGTGGCTTGCTGCTATTGGGCTATTCCATACCCTATATAGATGGGTTACATTGAGCCTTGCCGAGGCTCCTAGACATTCCGGGCTTGACGATGCGTGGGGCGGGGTTAGAGAGATATGCTGCATCTTGATTGGCTGATACGCTGCCTCTCAATACAAGCTCGTGCTGTGATTGGCTGTTATTGCGCACCGGGTCCCTCTGCTCCCGCTGTCTCCGCTCAGTCAGGGCTCAGCCGGCGGGGAGGTGACATGCTGGGCTCGGGAGGCTCCTGGGATCGGGGGGAGATCCGTAGGGCCCTGCGGGGGAGCCTGGCCGCCCTGTGCGAACTGAGCCTGCTGCAGGAGAGACAGGAGATCCGGGTCCGGAGAGCCATCCAGGGAGGAGAGGTAAATGGGGGGCGGCGGGGGAGACTGCACTCATCTCTTATTATTATTATTATCTGTTATTATTATTATTATTATTACAGTATTCTATTTATTATTACAGTATATTATTATTAATAATCTGTTATTTTTATTAATCTGTTATTTATTGTTTATTATTACAGTATATTATTATTTGTTTATTATAGTATATTATTTTTATTAATCTGTTATATATAGTTTATTACAGTATATTATTATTATTAATCTGTTATTTATTACAGCATATTATTATTAATCTATATATTGTTTATTATTACAGTATATTATTATTAATCTGTTATTTATTACAGTATATTATTCTGTTATCATATATTGTTTATTTGTTGTTAATCACAATATATTATTTATCGTGCTAATATCTGATCAATCTGTAATTAAGATTAATATACTGTAATAAACAATGTATAATCTGTTATTTATTACAATATATTATTTATCATTCAAAAAGCTGATCAATCTGTTATTATATATTGTTCCAATATATTATCAATCTATTATATATTCTTCAAATATCTTCTCAGTCAGTTATTTCAATGTATTATCTAACTGTTAGTTTGTATTATCAATCATCAATAGATCATTCGTTATAATGTATTACCATTCTGTTATTATACATCATTCCATATATTATAAATCTCTTATTATACATAATTTCAATTTATTATCAAACTGTTACATATTGTTCCAATTAAGATATTATCAATCTTTTTTTATTCAGATCTCCACTATATTATTAATATATATTCTACCAATCAATATATTATTTATTTTATTATAGACTAGTCCAATATATAATCAATATATTGTACATCTATTATATAACTTTTCAATATATCATCATGTGTTTTATTTTTCAGATGTATTATAATGCTGATATATTGTTACAGTGTATTACTTATATTTTAATGTATATATCATTCCATTATATTGTTATTATCACTGTTGTACATCATTATAATATATCATCTATTTTACATCACTCTAATATATTGTCAATCTATTCTAGATTATTCCAAATCACATCATCAATCTGTTATTAATCATCACTCCAATGTATTATCAATATACTATTACACACCCCTCCAATGTATTATCATTGTAATACTACATATCCCTCTGGTATATTATCAATCGGTTATTATATATTCCTCCTATGTATCATCACGCCATTATTACACATTACTCCAGTGTATTATTACACATCCCTCTAGTGTATTATCAATCTATTACTACACATCCTTCTGTGTATTATCAGTCTACTATTACACACCACTCAAACATATTATTAGTCTACTATTATCATTCTGTGTTTTGTCACTTTATTATTACACATTCCTACAATGTATTATCAATCTATTATTGCATATCCATCCAGTGTATTACACATCCCTCCAGTGTATTGCTACACACCACACCAGTCTATTATCAATGTATCACTACACATAACTCTGATAAATTATTACTGTCAGTCTATTATCACACATCCCTCCAGTGTATAATTGTATTATCACACATCCCTTAAGTGTATTATCAATGTATTACTACACATCCCTCTGATATTTTAATGGTTCCTTATTATACATTACTCTAATATATTATCAAGCCATTATTATACATCACTCCAATGTATTATCACTCGTTGCTGTATATATCATTGTAATGTATCATCAATTAAGTATCAATCATTCCTATCAGATGATTTATTATACATCATCAATTAATTATCTATTACTCAAAAGTATTAAGTCGGTTATGACACATTCACATTCCTCCAATGTAATATCACACTATTGCGCATCACTCCTGTGTATTATCAGTCTATTATTAAACATCACTCCAACCTATTCTCACTCTTTGAGATATATATTCACTGCATTATCAATCATTCAAATCTATCAGATCATGTGTTATACTTCATCCTCCAATTATCAAATATACATCACTCCAATATATTCTCAATCGGTTATTCATCATGATTGCTTTATCAAACACAGCTTACCAAGCATTCTTTATTAAAGAATAAAGTAAAATGAGATATGATATAATTTTTCCAATATAAAAATGATGCTCACTGCATGTATACAGTATCACACCATAAATGATAATCAGACTCTCCTTGTGTCTCCAAATAATCTGATTATAGCATTTCCCTTATTATTTGTCTGCTTTATTATTTATATACAGTAGTGCTTATACATATGCATTTATTACATGTCCTATGTAACGTGGGCATTGTGCAAGCTGTACCACATTCCCAGCGTCTCACATATACGATACCAAGCATTAGAATCACATCAAGTCAGCACTGGCCTCTAGCAACCGCCAAGGATACATTAACACCAGCAGACAAAGAAAGCGTGCATGCAATATACAATCCTTTGTTTTCGCTCTCCGTAACATACAAGCCCATTTGTTAATTATATCTGAATTATAAAGTATTAACATGTAACAACTGGGTATAGAATTTAACACCCAGAAACAAAATCACAGGAAGCTGTAACATTATGAAGGAGGAGGCGAGCTGTCTGCCTGATTTTAATACATGTTTAATCCTCTTACATTCACACAAATCCACTCACATACATACATACATACATACATACATACATACATACACACATCAGATGTGCAAGAACCGCTCCAACACTTCCTATACAGGGTTTATGTCATTTGTATCTACACTACTTTAATTACTCATCTATCTATGTATACTATGTATACACCCCATTCACGTAATCCTATTTGTGCTCATTGTATTGCTTCTTCTGTAGTTTCGGATGCAGCGTTTGCATCAAGGTAAAATAAACTTGGGAGTAAAATGTTAAATTTGGAGCAATCCCTGTGCATTATTTTACATTATTTTCATTGATCTTTGGCTTCAAACTGCTCCCAGTTTACCAAGATGAATACATGCCTGTGATCGTATAATTTACATTCAGCATCACACATCTATTCCGGGTTAAGCAGGGGATTTAAAGTATCTTATTGCAGGATTTATTTTTTTGTTGTGTTTATTTTAAGAGTCTGTTTGTTTTATTCCGAACGATAACTTTAATTAACCCTTTGTCTAGCAATATGAAGGGTACTTGAGTATCGTGCCAATGGCTAATACAGAACACTAAATGCCCCTTTTACATAAATAAATGGGAACCAAAAAGGGTGGGGGGGAGGGGTGGTAATCTGATTATTTCTGTAATGTAGAACAAGAAGTTTATTATTCCAATCTCTGCACCATTAGCCAAATTACTGCCATTTTCTCACTATTAATGTTACATGGCATTGCCGCACTTCCTCTTGAGGTTTTGAGAAAGGCCTAAGCTGTGTCATGATGGTTGCAAAGCTATTTCCTTAGGCATAAAAGAATGACATGCTTATGGCTTGAATTTCTTTTCATCCCTGAGGTGGCCACATTCTGAGCTGCTTTGCCTCTCTCCTCTCCGATTCTGTCTGTCTATTTTAACCGCTCAAGCTCATAACATAGTTTGTGCTGTCATAATCTTTTCCTTATAGGTGAGATGGCTCGTATGGAGTTTGGGAATATTAAACTGCGTCTGCAAGGCTGTGTGTTGCTGCAAATTCTCCCATCTACATTGTAGGGATCAACAGATGTCATTTTTCAAGAGTGGATCCTGATACTGATTATTGATCGCCTTTATGGCCGATTGCCAATAACTGGTGCCAATATTCTGTACAGTTAAAGTTTTTGACAATAGTAACATAACTTTGTTAACAAATATGGCATTGACTGAACATGCTAAAAGCAATCACACTCCTATCACTCTCAGACAGCCAGTGCATGCTGGGATCACCAAGATCCCAGCATGTGTTCATTAATTTATTGAAACTTTAAAAATCGCCAATATATTCTGCACTGCTGAGTGCAGTGCCGTTACTGATAGGAGTGAGATTCCTGACAGTAGATTATATACTGTCTCGACTCCCTGGGTTCAGCTGTGCTTCGCATGCGGAAACTTACAGAAAATGGTGACGTGAGGCCTCAACGTTTTTTGGGGTTGACAGCTGGAGTTTCCGGATACAGAAGACGGTGTGTGGTGACTGGGAGAAGTAGGTTATTGCTAATATCAGTAAATTACAATGCCAATACCAATTATTTGTAAAATGCTGAATATCTGCTCTAACTATCAGCAAAACTGATAATTGGTCTATCCCTACTACATTGCTATTGCTTTTGTTGTGGATCCTTCATGCTAGGGCTGGTTGCCCTGTAATGTATGGGGATGTGGTAGTTGCCCTGTAATGTAAGGGATGTGGTAGTTGCCCAGTAACGTATGGGGATGTGGTAGTTGCCCAGTAACGTATGGGGGTGTGGTAGTTGCCCAGTAATGTATGGGGATGCGGTGACACAATAATTACCTGTTTCACACAGGGGATGGCACTTAATTGGGACATTTTGCTGTTGCGAATAAACAATGGACGTAGTACCACATTAAAATCACCTGTAGGATGATTATGAAATACAACTATTTATGTTGTTTTGTTTTTTTAGTCTGTGTTTTCAAGGTTTACTTCAAACAAAGTAACTACTTAATTTTCTTGCAATGGAACGGTCACAGCCCTGTACTCTTTCCTTTCACACTAAAAAGGGCCATTGTCGCATTTACTGGGGTGAGGAATGCAATAAAAGTAAGTATGTAACACACTCCTTAGTACAAGAGCAGGGACAATGTGGCCTTCCTTCCAAGGCCCGTGGCATCATGGGAGTCGAGGTAACTTGCATTGTATGCCAGCAGTGCGTTGACAGCCTGACGTGAATTAAAATATATTTCTATAACAAATCACATGGCTAACGTCTACATTCCGGTAATGTAAACCCCCATAACTGACAATTCTTCTTTAAGTATAGCTATTCAAAGTCTGTCGTGTGCATTTTAGACGATGATTGACAGTTGACATCATGGGCTTTTAAAAAAAAATATATATATATATTTTCACAAATTGCAATTTCTGATAGTAAAAGAAGTAAATACGTTTCTGCAGGAAATTGCTGGTGAGTCCTGAACCATCTTAATTGTGCACCACATTTTTTTATTTTTTTTTGCCCTTCTTGTGCACACGTGAGAATCTAGCGGTGATTCATCAGTAGGCAGGCAAAGCTGACAGAAGCTTTGTTGACAAGACAGCATGTAGAACATCTCTTATTTTTCACATTTAGGCATTCGCTCTGTCATATCACCCATTTAAATCTACACAAAAGGCAACACACAACGTGCACACGAAAGCAAACTGTGCTTTGTTCTCTGTGCTGGCGATATACGTTTGGTTATTGAATTCTCTTTTAAAGAAGGTATTCAGAGATAAAAATCCGTTCTCATTGGGATGCTTGCAGGCCTCTCTAGAACATTCCCTGCCTATGGTTTGTTTTTTTTGGGCTAGGCTATATTTAGGCAATGTCTCTGATCAGGGCCGAACTGGGACAAAAATTCAGCCTTGACAATTAAAGGCAGAGCAGCTCACTAGGAGGAGAGAGGGTCCAGAAGGGGGGAGTGTAATGTCACCACTATTCATACGCATCACCCCCCCCACCACCAAATGACTATTTGTGTTGTATTGTGTGTGTAAAGGGGTCTGTTTGTGGCGTACTATGCGTGGCTAGGGGCTGTAGTGTGTGTGTGTGTGTGTGTGTGTGTATGTGTTGTGTTTGCATATAACTTATCACCTCATTTGGTTTCCACTACCACCTGTACGCTGATGACACCCAGCTATATCTCTCCTCCCCGGAACTCTCCCCTGCTGTCCTGCAACGTGTCACTGCTTGCCTTTCTTCCATCTCTGACTGGATGTCCTCCCGCTTTCTGAAACTCAATCTCTCAAAAACTGAGCTCCTTGTCTTTCCTCCTCCTAATACTGATCCTCCTCTTTCGCTCTCCCTTCAAGTTTGTGGTACCAACATCAGCGCATCCTTGCAAGCGCGCTGTCTTGGCGTCATACTTGACTCTGGTCTCACCTTTGAGCCTCACATCCAGCATGTTGCCAAATCCTGTAGATTCCATCTCAAAAACATAGCCCGCATCCGCCCCTTTCTTGCACCAGATACTACCAAGGAGCTTGTCCATGCTCTAATAATTTCACGCATGGATTATTGTAACCCTCTCCTGCTTGGTCTTCCCAAAAGCCGTACTGCACCCCTACAGTCTGTAATGAATGCTGCTGCTAGACTGATTTTCCTCTCTAGTCGTTTCTCCCACACCTCACCCCTCTGCCAGTCCTTACATTGGCTTCCTGTGTGCTATAGGAGTCAATTCAAGGCACTAACTCACACCTATAAAGCACTGAACAACTCTAGCCCCTCCTATATCTCCTCACTGATCCACAGGTATGTCCCTTCTCGGTCTCTCCTCTCTGCCCGTGACCGCCTCCTGTCCGTTGTCCGCACCCGTACGGCCAACTCGCGCTTGCAGGACTTCTCGCGGGCGGCTCCCTTCCTATGGAATAGCCTGCCTACCGCCATCCGACTCTCCCCTAGTCTTGCATCTTTTAAGAAGTGCCTTAAAACCCATCTCTTTAGGAAAGCCTATGGCCTCCAAGACTAACCCCTACCTCACTTACCTGTCTCTTGCCCTCCCCTAAAGGGCAGCCCACTTTTTTTTTGATTGCACACTCCTGTCCTAATGTGTCCTACACCCCACCTCCTATAGAATGTAAGCTCGATTGAGCAGGGTACTCTTCAACCTATTGTTCCTGTAAGTTTATTTGTAATTGTCCTATTTATTGTTAAATCCCCTTTCATAATATTGTAAAGCACTACGGAATCTGTTGGCGCTATATAAATGGCAATAATAAATAAAAAAAATAAATATAGGGGCTGTAGAGCACATGTGTTTAGGTGCGGTAATGTATGCATAGGTGGTGTAGTGTGTACAGGGGGTGTAAAATGTGTATTTATAGAGGATATTAATTTAGTGTGTGTGTGTGTGTGTGTGTGTATATAGGGGTGTAGTGTGTTAGTGCAGTGGAGCAGTGTGTATATAGTGGTTGGATATGGGCTTAAATTAATAATTAGAAAAACAAAAAAAAATCAAATTTTACTCCCTTTTAAAACTTTGCAAGTGGAAGAGAGCATGCAGATACCTGGTGGTCTAGTGAGAGGGGGCACGCCGCACACAGATCCCTGGTGGTCCAGTGGGCAGGTAATTTAATATGTACCCCGCAGGGTACAGACCACGATTCTCTCCCTCTCGCGAGCACCGTTTGTTTTCAGAGCGTTGCCGCGGGTTATCATGGCAACGCTCTGATAATCTCGGAGCTTGCGAGAGGGATAGAAGGAAGCTGCTCGGCATGCATGGAGAGTGAGTGACACATGATGGGACAGAACTTCATTTTGGGGCTGGTGCTGCCCTGCATGGGTTAGCAGGGGAGATCTCTTGATCTTTTTTTGCCGGTCGCGGCCCACCGAGCGTTTGCCCGATGGCCAGTCCGGGCCTGTCTCTGATCCATGAGGAGTTAACCAATGAGGTATCTGGAACAGTCTGTTAGTAGTTTTAAAGACCCAGACTGCAAATGATTACCGGTAAATAAATTCTCCCAGCTGCAAACCCTAATTCGCTGTAATGAAGTTGCTAAAGCCTTTAATTCTTACCCACAAACGCACTTCTTAGTAGGTCCCGTTTCCGGCCATTCTTTTTTTTTTGTTTGGATTTCTGATTGGTGGTGGGGGTTATGCTTGCTCCCCTAATGTTTGCCACACAGTGATACCGTAGACCTCATGTGACGCCATGCTGGTCTTGAGTGCACACTCACTGTGGCGAACAGATTTGTGGGTTCGTAGAAGTTTAAGGTTGCAAAGCCAATATAAATATACTTTAAATATATATATTAGCAGTTTGAGTGTCTCAGTTTATAGGCAAAAATTCTATACTTCCATCAAATTATTTTGACCTTTTCTGAATTGCTTCCAATTCTTTCTTTTTTTTTTTTTTTTTTTTTTTTTTACATTTTTCATATATTTCTAACTTAAAACAAAGTAGGGCCCTTGCGAGGGACAGTTAAGCAAGTAAGTAAAACTCGCCTTTCCCTGCCCCCAGCCTCTGGACCCTCAGTGGCGATGTTACCGTTGGGGGTCTTTGCAAATGGTGACAATTACATTTTTATTTTGTCTACTTACTAACAATGCAGTTTCAGTAATCTGTTTATTTTAAACCCAATTATCCGTCACTAGAAGCCTCCTTCATAATGCTTTCCATGTACTGACCGTGTTTTGCAATTCTATCATGGAATTACAGTGCATACATTGTAATTTCATTTTCTGATTAAGTTAATTCACACACTGAGGCTCAAATTAACATACCTTCTGTGACAAGTGTTGGATGATGGTATATAAAAAGAAAAGCCAAGACTGCCCCTCGAATTTAAGGTTTTATAAGATGATTCTCCTGTGCAATTTGTAAGATAATGATCCAGTCACATGATACTGAACTGGCTCAAGAACAAAAATGGGAGAGCTGTACGGTGGTATATATAGTTCTTTGATCTATCTCCTGGTACCTCCTTTTATTAACTGCAAGCCACCATTGAAATTCAATGCACTCTGAACAAAATGCTACTTATAATGGTGTTGGGTCTAAGTATCTATCTTTAGTAGTGTACTATATTAAAATATAACAGTGATTTCTTTTTCTGGTTGCAAACTAACTTAGAACTATATAACTTGTCTGTGTTATGTTTGTGTTTTAGAATTTTGCTATTTGAGTATCCAGTTATAGGCACTATATACTTTTAGGATAAATATTGTTGTGTTTTTTTTTTTTCTTTTTAAATCTTAGGATCTTGACCGTCAGCTGTGGGAACTGGAAAGACAACTTGGAGAACTGAGATTTCGCGCAGAAAAAGACCAGGAGAATGGTGAGACGCAGACCGAATACATACAATATTGACAGATGAAATAACCAAAATCACAAACTGAACACTGACATATCTTTATTCCGTCCTTGTTATCTGGCCAGCATTGTCTATAGAAGTGGTAGGCACCCTCCATGCTCTGACAGCCATAATGTTGGCAAAGTATCAGTAAAAATGTTGTCCACAACATCTGGAGGACCAAAGGTTGCGTCTATTGTCATTAAATGTCCACACCATACTTTAAATGAATCACCTAATCATTTATGCTTCATCCTCTGTTTTTTCATTTTCCTTTTATTTTGTTTCCAATGTACATCAGGGTTTTGAAAGTTATTTTCGCAGTAGATATAACACCAAGTTACGTCTGCAAACGCATCTAGTGTTCTGCATTCTGTGTCTGCTAATGGCCATCCTATAGCAATAGTACGTATTATCAACTGAGTGCTATCAGCAGGTGCACAGAGTAATTCAGAGCTAGAATGGAAAGCATGTGGTCCTATGCTGTTACAGAGAAGTTTTATATGTAAAATAAGGTAATTCTTCTAACTTTTTTTGTTTTGTTTTCTAATTTAAAATGTTTGTCCTTGCATTAATTGACTCTTTTGTTTCGAGCATAATTCCCAGAGTGCATCTGACCTCAACTGACTTTTTTTTTCACTTTTTGGCTTTTTTTATGCAAGTGTGAGAAATATTAACATAAACACTATTTAAATGTTGAATTTTATATTTGAAGTAATTTTGGTATCCTAATTTTAAAAAGGTTTTGTCTTGTTGATGCTCTGAAACCGTGCTTGATCAGTTTGTTTCTGTATGTTTAACGTATTGGATTATAAATTGTATCATCCTAGGCAGTGGAATGCGTCAGCACTGTATAAATAAGCAATAAGAATAAAAATAATAATTGTTTTAAGTGTTTTATTTGAATCCGATCTGAGTTTCCTGCCCATAAGTTTATGTTGCAGCTTTGTTGTATTCCAACTCCCATCACCCATAGCCAGAAATAGTCCAAGACCTGTTAGGCTTGTCTACCTGCTTTTATCTTTTCCCCTTCCATACATAGCTCATGCCAATTATCCTGTCCTGCAAGTGCCTGGGATTGTTCAGTTAGTTTGGGCATGTTAAGCCCCAATTTTAGCTGCTATATTTACATTGTTGGCGTCTTGCCATTGGAATCTTTATTCATCTTGTATGCAAATGTTACAGTTGCATTTTGGGCAAGATGCCAAGGGCATTTTCTAGTCCGACCATCTGGGAGACCTGTCAGCTTCAAAGGAAATATGCTTTGAATAATTTCCATGTACATATGTATACCCGCTATCCCATGAATTGTAATAGATTAGCTATGCTACATTTGTTATTAATGCCATTTATATAGTGCCAACAGATTCCGTAACACTTTACAATATTATGAGAGGGGGGATTGAACTATAATTAGGACAATTACAAGAAAACTTACATGAACGATAGGTTGATGACATTTGTTGATAGGACTGACGTGTGAAACTACATAAGGGCAGGGTTGTTACTTCACCTCCGTCATTAAATCACAATTTTAGGTTAGCTAATAATTACAATGATTTTTATATAGCGCCAACATATTCCGCAGTGCTGTACAACAGATAAACGAGGACAAATAATTCTTGCAAAACATATTTGACATACAAGAACAATAAGTGAAGAGGGCTCTGCCCAAATGAGTTTGCAATCTAAATCTGGTTAAAGTATATGAATTATGCATAAACCAGGTTATTTCTAGTGAAAAAATAGCACTTTTGACTTTGTTTTAGTAAGTTTAGCAATGTTTTATCTAATGGTATACTTTCAAAAGAAGTATTCGTTCCTTTTAGGAATTTATTATAATTGCCTGTATCTGGGTTTTGATACAATGGTCCATTTTGTTTTAAATTTGTATTAACGTGGAACTGTCACTTGTCTGGAACAGACGGTTCATTCTTCCCTCAGCCCGCTAAACGCTATTACAGTTACTTATTTTCTGGTGTGAAAAGTGGCAGAAATATTAATAAATGAAATGCGCTAGAAAAGAGAAAAGTGCCTAAAAACTTGCAAATTTGATCATAAATACAGATAATTCCCCCAAACATAGACCAGCTTTCTAATGTGGGGAATCCCTGGAATCCCCATTCTACTGAACTGGTGGTAAGTCCGAGGCGTCGTTATGCAGGTAAGTCGCAAAATGAGGACTACCTGTTGTAGAAAGATGATTCACACCAGATTATTTACTGACACAATGATTAAAATATTCCCTATTGATCTCACTATGCTGTCTGAAAGTTGCAAAAGGCGGAGCTTATAATAATGATTGATAGGGAGACAAGAGAAAGAAATATATAATGGGGATCGTCTATATTATTTCACATTCGTGTAGTGTGATATCACAGGCATATATATATTGACCATTATGGGGAAAATGCTATTTTGGACTAACTTTCCTTTCTGCTTTTTACAGCCTACGAAGGTGATGGCGTGGAGACATGTGATGTGTTTTTGGACTCTGCCCCAGTAGCCCGACAGACGGAGGCTCGTATGCAGTATGCAAATGAACGTCCGAAGAGTGCAGGTAAGCGGCGCATGAATGCTGTGTGGTGAACATGGTTACCTGGTGATGGACTTCACATCTTTCATCCATTTTCTCTTCCCTTTCTGTTTTTGTTTTCTGGCCCACTTGTTTTTCTTAAACTTCAGGTGATCTGGTTGTGGGATCTCCCCATCCTCGCTCTTCCTCCTCCCGCCTCTTGGTTCCTCGATCACTCTCTGCTCCGTATCCTTCTCCTTCATCTCCACCATCTGCTTCCCGCCGGGCTGAAGGCTATATACTTTCTCTCCTCCGCCGTCAGCTTCGGACACCATACCTGCGTTCGGCCTCTACTGAGCGACCTGCTCCTACTCCTCCCCCTCCTCCTGCTCAGCCTCCAGTATGCCGTATAACAAATGCCTCCTACACACCCCCTCACCGTGGTCCTCGCAGGAAGCATCCCCCATTATTGAAAGGCCACAGTGTAGAAGGCTCCCCTCCTCGTCAACCTAGGAAATGTCTGTCAGCAGAGGAACCACCTCGTAAAAGAGGAGGGAGGAGGACCCCAAGATCCCTGTCAGAAACAAGCCTTAGGGATCCCAGTCCTCGTGGAGAGGCAGGGGCAGACCCCAGGAACCACCCAGAGGTTTGGGATGTACCTAGGGGAAATGCAGAGGGCTGGATAGATGCCAGAAGTCATGCAGAGGGTTGGATTGGGTCCAGAGGTCATTCAGAAGGATGGATGGAACATAGAGATCTTTCTCAAGAGTGGGGTGACCCTAGAGGCCACATACAGGAGGGTGGCCGTTGCTACACATTAGGAAGAGAAGGGAGGGGCCCTGCTGTAAGGCTTGGTCCTCCTTGTAGGAAGTGGAGGTCTACAGCAGAGATTAGTGTAGGGGGGCAGGAGGGCGAGTCCAGAGTGGACTCCAGAGTGGATTCAGAAGGTGAAGAGGAGGAAGGAGAGCTTGTTTGGCCCCTGCAGCTTCCACCTCGTGATGCAGATGGACGCCCCCAAATGTTTAAAGTGAAAGCATCACAGGCACTCAAAAAAAAGATCATGAGGTTCCACACGGGGTCTCTCAAGGTAATGACGACAGTGTGATGCACAAACATGAGAATTGTCCAATGCTTGTGGTTGTTGCTACATAACAATACCATGGCAGCCATATGATGTATCTACCTATGTACATACAAAGTCGCAAAATTGTGTGGATGTAAAGTTGTTTACACAAATCTACATACAGGGTCCGAATGTATGATGACCAGAGAAGTATTATGTGTGTGATGTCCTTCACTAATTTATTTTGACATTAAGATTACTTGAAGATATTGATTCTGCTCCTTGAGATATTATTCTATTCAAACCACAAATGTATTCTACTTGGACAAACTATAGTATTCAGGGAGATATGCTTCATTATATATTTTATCAGGTTATATGCCTCTGGGTCATCGTAAACTATGTAGACCATTAATGTAGTGAATGTAGTTCTGTGGGAATTCCTCCTGAATGTTACAAGTTCAGATGATGCACCCACAGAAATGGAATTCCAGCAACTGTTTGAATCTCCATCTAGATTCTAGAACATTAACTGATCATACCAAACAGTGCTACAATCTTACCTGGTCAGGCCACTCAGTACTTCAGTAGTACATGGTCATCCAAGTCTAAACTATGTCAATAAATAACATGTTGTGGTGTTTTATATCTTTAAATAAGCCAGAATCTGCAGCTATTTCTATTGATTTACTTGCTAAGAAGAAAACCTACGGTCTTAATCTACTGATTCACAGTAATTTGAGGTCATTGTCTGGAGCTGTCCTACAGGAGATTTTGTCCTTTTTAGTATTTGCCGCTTTATTCCCAGCTATTGTGTACATTTAGTGGCATCCAAACTTTCTACGATTTTATTTTAGATTTCAACCCTAGACTTAAAACAATCCGGGATAAATTAGAATCTATTGTTTGTCAGTTGTCAACGTGTTAACTCTTTAAATGGTGAAATTGTTCGAAGGCAGCCGTTTTCAACAACTTCGATTTATCAATTCAGTGAAGAAGTGCCCTTTGCTTTGCTCAAGCTTGCGTGTTAAACAATCAATCCATGCACAGAATAGTTATCAACACTATCGGATACTTGTCAAATTCAGCAAAAAGGACCTCGTAACCAGAGCAAAACCTTTTCTAACACTTAAGCAATAAATAGTCACAATTTCACAAAACTTGTACTAACAATTCCTTGTTAGTCAAATTTAAAATAAGTACTGTAACAATAAAATAACATAGAAAGAATGATAGCACAACTGATTACAAACATGTACTCTACAAAAAATCCCAATTCTGAACAAGCATATCAATTTGAAACAGAGCAGGGTAAAGACGCATTATCCTCACAGATGTAAAATGCGTCAGACAGGTCAGATCATATAAAGATATTTTCAGTTTGTTTGTTAACTTCCAGAGTATCGACAGAACTTGCCTGAAAAGAACATTTAAGGAAATTATGGTTGTGTGTTATTCAAACAGGTCTTCATATCTTTTGGTGGAATAAGGACTTGTCAACGTCCAACTTCTGTAAAAATACTTCTAGAGGAAGAAGAAATATATTCTTTGAGGTTTCCGGTAAAAGTCATGAAATGGTTTAATGGTATAGCGCTTCTAGAGACAAAGCTTTGTGTCTTGAGTTTTTCAAAACAGCATGTTAATTATTCTGTACATATGCTTTGTAAAATGACGACAGATTCCATTTATAGCAAAAATATCTAATCTGGAAGATGTTTCTAGGTGTATTCATAGTCTAACGGTTCCAGTGATTTGTTCTCAAAGGCTGAGGCCTACAATACTTTGTATTTTTAGTTCCTTTTAGATTTAAGCATTTTTAAAAAGATCATCAGGTTATGGACTACCGAATGTCATGATAATGAGGATCTTGATACTGTATGTAATGTCCTACTTCTTTACACTAGTGGCTGATATTAGCATAGGGTGTTTAAGGGTTTGATTTTTTTTTAAATTTATTTATTTTTTCTTTAAAACATTAAGAGGATAACTATGGCCACGTTTTGATACTGTATTCATGGAGACAGCTGTAGTTATTGATGGTAGGTAGTGCTTAAAACACTCACAGATAATGAAGTGGTCTCCAGGGCGACGCTGAAGTTTAATGGACATAATAATGGCCATTGTGGTACTTCGTTGTGCCATATCAAGAATATTCTTCTACACTGTACAAGTTATGGACTACACCATGAAAACTGAAAACTTCTATTCATGATTGCAGATTGTACAGAGCACAATCTGTATAGAATTAGGCCAATATTTAGGAACGTTTTTAAAACATTACATTTCTGAGTTCGGCTGGTATAGGGTATCGGTTATACTGCGACTGTGATGTTCAGCATTATAGAAAAGCAATAGAATTATTCACCTAGCCAAGTACTGGTTGTTCGAGTCCTACAGGAATAAAATCAAGGTTTTAAATATTTTTAAGCTGTACCTCCCATTCTAGCTCGATAGTGAAAAGAAACTAGGCACGCTCATGAATCCCCTACACTCCTCATTTCAAAACCAGATCCAAGAACTGCCCCATGCCAATAGGGCTGTTTAACAATAGTATAAGGAGAGGGCAGCCATATTATTATGCCAAAACGATTTGCTTCTTGTCAAATCCGCTATGCAGTGACTGACATCCATAAAAAAGAAGTGAATAAAAGTTCCTAGGCCCTCCTTGTAACTTGTGCTAAATGAGGAGGTTGAAGAAGTAAGAGATTTTGACTCTCATGATTATTACGTGGTCCCAAAGTTCCCAGACACATTCTTCTGCAGGAAACCATATTTACAGCTTTCTGAAGCCATAGAAATGTATCAGTTATCTGTCCATTTCACTTTGATGTTGGCACAATTTTCAAAGAGGTTATGGTGCATCTATCACACTTGTGCCCAGGCTAAACTTTGAAACCCTTAATGAAAAGTTGGCATTGAACACCTCCCTAAATTGCATCCATAACACAGTGCTGCATGTACTCCAGGTATTAAATGGAACTTAAAATGGGATCACCTACATGTGAAACATATGGGCCTGTTGTATCGTCTTGCCCCAGAGTCGTCAAGAAGATGTATATTTAAATCTGAACTCAAAGTGTTGGCATTGATAACGGATTGCTGTGTGGTAGAATCTCCAGTACAGAGAGAGGCTCCTAGTTTAAATCTGCATTGCATCTATTTATTTTATAATAAATTCATCCCAAGCAAATCCAGCTCGTACAGTCATCTTATGCCATACTCTTAAATTGGTGTTAAAGTGCATGGTTTTCTTTTTCGGAGTGCCAAAATGGTCAGGACCCTAGCTTGCACTGCTACGATACACATCGTAAAAATAAAAATCTTAACGCAAATTTCCATTTCATTAATGTAAAGTGCTGGCCAGTGCCTTAATTCAAACTTTAAATTTATATCCATGATTTTTAAATTGTTCTTGCACTTAAAGATTTTTGCCCTGTGACGTTTATAAAGAAGGCTTAAAGGTCGCCCTTCAAGGTTTGAGATATTCTCTGGATATGCAAATACAAGGCTGTGCTTGAAAAGTGTCTCCATTTACTCCTCAAAGCATTTGTGCTCTTCGGCCTAATGTGCGGAAGTTCAATCCGAAAGGAACCCTGTTTACGGGGTAGTAAGTAGCCCTTTAGAGAAATGCGAAAACTTGCATTATTAAACCCTTCAAGGACTAAGCTCCTGTTATAGTATGAAGAGTCCAGTGTTCCTCTAATGTCACAGAGTGACTGGTTAATCATTTAATTAAAATAAACGTGTATTTTCTGTTTGCTGAATTCTGTTACTCAGGCTGTAATTTCAATGCATAAAAGGCTGCAGTCTATATATGGGTGGTAACTGGGTTTTAATCTGATAAGCAGATATGCATGTTGTGAGAGTACTGTAAATTTAAAGGCAGTATGGACTGCGTATTTGTATAATTAAGTTTATGGTGTAAATAAAATTGTTGCATATGTATATACGCTGTATGAATTTTGCATTTTGGATTCTGTAAATAAAGTGGTGATTGTCATTTTGTCTCTGATCTCTATTGATGTTCTATAAGGGAAGGGGGTGGCACCTTTTATTGGATCAATAATGACATTATCCTGGGTGAGGTTTCTGATTATATCGGTGTTCTATAAATAATGATGATGTTCTACTGGTGGAAGTGATACCATGTCTCTAATGTTTTATGCCATTTTTATCTGTGCATGGTGTCACCGTGTCTCAGATCTGTCAATTTTCCATTGGGGAGGTACCACCACTTCTCTGTTCTCTAATGACCTTCTGCTGGGAGAACTGGCCCCGTGATTTAAGAAATGTTATGGTGTTCGTCTGGAACAAATATACAAAGTCTCAGATTTTTATTTTATTTTTTTTATGTCCACTAAAGGTGATGGATTACTTTATTGTATTCCACTGCGTAAGGTGACTCCCTGTCTCAGGTAATTTTGGGAACCTTTCATTGCCCTGTGCCTCAGGAAAGATAGGTTAGATTTAAGGCTCTTTAATTATAAAGGGATGAGATATTAACACCATTTTTATTGTTTCCAATTTTTTTCTTTTCGTACCAAATTTTGTTCTGTGTAACATTTTCCTGTTTACCAACTTCTTCATGTTTCTGTTCTAGTCCCAATTATCTCTCCCACTATATCTTCTTCTTCTGCCTGAAACCTTCAAATATTTAAAACCTTTAAAAAATGTTTTAATTTAATGTACAGTTAACATATACTGTGCGAGCAATTGTATGTGTATCATGTTCCAAATACAAGAGACACAAATATACATGTAGATATATATGTATCGCATAAAAAGTTCTTTTCGTTTTGTTTCTTGCTCGCGTTGTCATGGAAACTGAACAAGAATCTCAAATCCAAATATAACCCTGAACATGATTCACTAGCATCGCGGAGACAGCTGTACTATGGGTGAAAGGATGTTGTGTTCGGTAATAGGGATCTGGATGTGCAGTGTATCGCAAGGAAATGGGCCTTGGTTACTAGAGGCTATAAAAAGGGGATCCCACGGATTAATGTACCTGTTAACCTCGTGTAGTAATGATTCACCAGTTCAATTTATCACCTATTTTCATAAAATCCAATTTTCTTTATTTCCTCATGCTAAAAACGTGAATGCTAGATTTGCTCATTGAGAAATGTTGCCGTTTGTGCACCAAAAGTAAATCCAAAGGGACACTCACAGGTGGATGAAGTTGACCCATGTTTATTAATGCTACTTGCAAATAATTAATGAAAATATGCACAAAAAAAGCTTTTAAAGGATCACTATAGGGTCAGGAACTTGACTCTATAGTGCTAAACCCACCATTTAGGTCGCTTACCCCCCCTCCTATAAAAGTTTAAAACTTACCTTATTTTCAGCGCTGCACGGGTCTGCCAGCGCTGGCTCTGCCCCATAGGGAAAGTATTGGATTGGCTAAAATTGGCACGGGGTGGGGCCAAATGCAGTTTTGGACAATCAGGACCTCCTCATAGACGCATTGAATCAATGCATTTCTATGAGGAAAATTCTGCGTTCCCATGCAGAGCGTGGGGATGCTGAACGGCAGGGCTGCTTACTGTGCAGCACTGAGCCAGGAAGCCCCTCCAGTAGCCATCTAAGGAGTGGCCACTTGGAGGTGTCCCTAGGGGCAATTTAAACACTGCCTTTTCTCTGAAGTCAGTGTTTACATGAAAATGCCTGAAGGGAGCTATTATACTCACCAGAACAACTACATTAAGCTGTAGTTGTTCTGGTGACTATAGTGTCCCTTTAAAAATGAAAATACTCTTCTTTTGATTACCTGCCTAGCCAATTCTATGAGAGTAGTTTGGAAATCAACTAAGTGTACATTGTAGAAGGAATTAGGAGAAGTTAAACTGTGACCGGGATTTCATGATAATTCATGCTGTCACGGCCATCGTTAATATTGATTAGACCCTGGGCAAGCATTTGCGTGGGCCCTTCCCCGACCTCCACTCCCAGCATGCAATCACACTCTCCACGCAATGCAGTGGCGGAACTAAAATAGAGCAGGCCCCGCTATTTCAAGGATTTTGGGCCTCGCTATTGCAAGGATGGCCAAAAGGTAGATCACCGTCTGTCATGCAATTACAACAATGCTTTGACAGCTGGGGCTCTGCCATTTTCCCATGCCTGCAGGGTTGTATTTAGCACTGAGCAGTGTTTGTGTGTGTGAATGTAAGCATGATTTTGTATGGAGTATGTTTGTGTGAATGTATGGGTGTGTTTTGTATGTGGTGTTGACATTTGAATGCAAGCATGCATTTATGTGTAGTTTTGTTTTTTTGCATGCAGGGGTGAGTTTATGTATAATTTTGCTGTTTAACAGAGGGATGTTTGTATCTAGTGTTGACGTTGCAATGCAGGAGTGTGTTTGTATGTAGTGTTGAAGTTTGAATGCGGGGATGTCTTTTTGTGTTATGTTGGCATTTGAATGTGGGATGTATGCACATATACACATACACATACACTGACACACATACAGATACATAGATATCGGCGATCCTAAAATAAATTGTTGCATGTGGAGGGTAAACAGGGCAGCTGCTTTGTGCTCCACAGGAGTAGCTGGGCCCGTTTTCCCCACATTAAAGACTGCCCTACATGCTGTAATTTACAATGTTTGTACCTTAATCCACTGCATATTTACTCAGAAATAAAGGATTCTCTAGTCCTATCTCTGCCCATTAAAAATAAATAACTAGATACCCCAATGGGAGAATAAAGCCTGATAACGGCTCCCAGTGAGTGATCAAAGAATAGTACAATCATCACATACTCAATAGAAAGACATACACAGTGCTTGAAATTAGTTGGAGTTGAAATAATAGAGCAGCACAGACAGGTGGCGCTACAAGTTTAAACTAACAAAAAAAATGGAAACACAAAAGGGTCTATTATACACTGAAATAAAACCTATATTGTGGCGAATTGCAAAATTCAATCTGACACAGAGTTGGAGAATTTTTCTAAGTCGTCTACTTTGGCCTGACTTTTAGAATTTGGTGAATTCTCTTCAGTGTGGATATTTACTAAACGGTGAACTGCAAACCAAAATGGAAATCAAATTCAAAATATTTGGCCAAAATAGCTGCATTTAAAGAAAAATCTTCAATTCCTCTGGTTTTTCAGTTTTGTCTGACTTGCCCTAAATTTTGCAAAATGTTTTTCAGTCCTCCATAATATCAGACACTGAGGGGTAGCTATAAAATATATGTTCTAGATGACATGATGCACTTTGGTTATCAAGAACGAAGAAGTGGCACATTTACTGGAACTGAAATAACTGTTTGTGAGTTTATTACATTGTGTTTTACTCCTTTGGAGCTCTGTATTATACACTATATTATTGTGATTTTCATTGCTGTGGAGCTCTGTGATACATTCATACCAATGACACATTACTGTGATTTTCCATTGCTGTGGAGCTCTGTGATAGTCATACCAATGACACATTGCTGTGGAGCTCTGTGATACATTCATACACATTAAACATTCTATGCTCCTTGAAACGAGGGACAACGAGAAAGAGAATATGGACTGGGTTGTGAACGAGAGACCCTTAGATCAATACAAATAGAGGGTCTCTGTCCTTGTCTTGCGATATTTACACAGGCTGTATGTTGTGTAGGTTTTATTGTGCGGTTTAACAGTCACACCTGTCCCTCTTCCCTCCTCCCGCTGTCTCCCTGGAGATCCACTATTGACTTGCAGCTGTCACTAGGTCTGTTAGCAGTCTCTGTCTCACAAACACTCTGCTGGAGCTGGAGAGGGGTCTGTTTGTCCCAGTGTATCGCCTTTCACTTTTGGCACTTACCCTGCAGACTGCCCCCATACAGGTGAGTAAACCTTCACACTACAACACTGAAAGGTCCTATTCATTGCTCTTCCTAGCCAGGTTAACCATATCGGTGCAAGGTACACTGTTCCCAATTTCCTAACATTAACCCTTCCATTGCTGGTGATCTTTATATCCCGCTGCTGTAGTGGTTAACTGTGGTACCCCAGATGTTTGTGACATACATTTCCCATGATGCATGATTGCTAAATTAGCCAACACTACACTATTGGCAATACAAGGGTTAAAGAGCAGCATTTTCTGCTAGAGGAAAACAAAGGCACCTCTGTAGCTATTGGCTAAAATATCAATTCAATTGTTTAATTGGAATTAAAGGAATAATCTGTAGGGTTGGAAGGTGTAAATTCATTAACCCCTTAGTGACCATTGAGATATCATGCCTTGCATAATATAATGGGATTTGCCTATCCCTTATGAAGGTAAGTATTTTTTTTTTTTTTTAGGAGCCAAGGCTCCAGTCGTGAAAGGGTTAATGGCGTGAGCTTTGAAACAAAGAGCAGAGAACAATGATGCAATCCTCCCCTATTGTTGTCACATACAGGGTTTAACCTGTTGAGTGCCATGTAAGAAACGGAGACCTTCAGACATGAGAAACTGGTGTAGTACCAATATTACGTATCATTTCCTGTAGTGGGCTGCTTAACCCACTAATACTATAATCCTGTAAAATCTCCTTCCCTGTGGAGCAGTTCTTTGTTCCATTAATTCGCCCCCTTTCTGTAAAAACCTAGCTTTCCCAATTAAATGGTGGATCAACAAGGAGCAGCTATCACAGAGCAAAGGGAGTAAGGCGATGGTTTGAAATAAGTAAAGATTTGCAATAAATACCATTTACAAGCAGGCAGCGTGTAGAAATGGAGTTGAGTGGGCAACATTCTAAAAGTGATGCAATCACCATGGAAACTGATGCAATGTCCCTGCTGATTGCTCCAGTTTTAGAATGTTGCCTTCCTTTTATACCAGCTAAACCTTCATTGCAGCATCACACTTACAGTGAGGTTTATTTACATTGGAAGGATCACATTTGCTAAATTTAGTTTTAAAATAAAACTGCGACTATCTTCTCTTTCCAAGCTGGCGTTTTGGCCTAATTTTTACAATTTGAATTTTAACTTCATCACAAATAACTATTCAGTAATAATTTCCAATGATTACAACCAGGATCCTGGTTAAATAGACATGGATACTGATTCACATGCTTATTCACTAAAAGGGACACTGTAGACACCCAGACCACTTCAGCTAATTGAAGTGGTCTGGGTGCTGTGCCCCTTTTGCACTTAGTGCTGCAATGTAAAACATTTTGTTTTCCTGGCATTATAGGATCCCTTAAAGTGAGAATTCGAAGTGAATTTAATTTAAAATTTAAGGCCAAAGTAAACAAAACAGAAATATGGCTGACATAGAGAATGTTTGCAGTTTGGCTACTTTTATCTTGAATGGGAAATTGACTGTAGGGTAATAAAGATTTTCAGTACAATGAACCAGTGTTTGAGCAGATCATTTTCAGGATTATAGAGTTTTTGGTTAATACAGTGGATTAAGCAACCCTCCATAAATTACATGTAGCCTTGGTACTACAGCTGTTTTTTGAACTATATTTGCATGATACCCAGCTAGCTTTTCGCTTACATACATTTACAATGTCAACACTAGTAGTCATCTGGCTTTACATGATGCCTAGTGTGTGGAGGTGATGACGCACATGTACAGCCAACCTAACTCTCCTTACTACTGCTATGCCAGTGGCATAGCAGGAAAGTCCAAAAAGGTCAAAATAATTTGTACTGTCAAGGCTATTTACAAATGTGAAAATTGTCAAGAATTCAAAGTTCCCTCTCTTTTCTCTATCTATCTATTCTCTATTATATGTCTATCTTTAAATAAAAACTATATTTGCTTAAGAATTCAAAGTCGTTTTAAACATTTTTAGATAACGTTAAATTGAAACCATGGCTGGCTTGTAGAATGGTTACAATTTATTGAGATCTTAAATTTGAAGTTCACTGTACAAACACTTTGAATTCTTGACAATTCTCACGTTAGTAAAAAAAAAATTCTCGCTGTTTGTCTGGAATAGTATATAGATGTAATTTCATACTATTCCGTTAACACAGGTGTACTTTAAGTAGAGATATTAAGAAATCATGTTTAATTTCAGTTGAAAGGCAGGTGCTATCACAGAGTTAAGTAAATTTAAAGCTTTTTTTAACACATGTAGAAGCTCTGTCATATAAGCAACACATACCCCGAGGATATCCACTTACCTGTAATTAACTCTCCTCTACTTGCTGTGACCTGCCCAATCTCCTGGGGCACCAGGTGGCACTTCTCATTGCAGTATCAAGAAACAGTGGCTCTGTGACAGTTACACCGCTTTACACAATGTCAAACCACATGACTAAAATTGCCGAGGCTCGTAAAACAGTGGAACAGTTGAAGATGGAGGTGAATGTAAGCAGAACGAAGGTAAGAATGAATTAAAGCAAGCGGTCGAGAGGCTTACGTCAGTCTGATGACCCTGAAAGAGTTAGACAATTTATTGCTGCTTAGTTGTTCTAAACCTGAAACTTCACCATTTAACAAGGGAATAGGTGCATATGGCAAAAGCAAAGAAGGATAGCAAGAGAGGGGAGGACGGACAACAGCTCAAATAGCCTGCCCTTCGGTGGGTCCCCGCTCAGATCTCAAGCTGGTTTTAGCTCAATTTGTGCCATTACAAAGAGAACATCTCTGAAGCATATCAGACTGGTCCCACCCATACAGGCAGACCAGATCCGAAATGCCAGCACGTTCCCTCTGCACGAAAGATACGGCAACCCCTGGCGATCGTTTCAACCTTGTAAGGTATCATCAGTAATCCAGACGTGGACCCCTCGCTTACGGTGCCTAGAGAGATATCAGCTATGCCTCACAAGGCTGAAATGATTGTCTGGGGTTGCTGTGTCTCTTGTGCAGAGGGAACTTGCTGGCATTTCGGATCTGGACCGCCCGTATGGGTGGGACCAGTCTGATATGCTTCAGATATGTTCTCTCTGTAATGGCACAAGATGAGCTAAAACCAGCTTGAGATCTGAGTGGGGACCCACCGAAGGGCAGGCTATTTCAGCTGCTGCCTGTTCTCAGTATACTCTTGCGCCCTGTTTTTTTGCTCTCCATATGGGAAAAGCGCCTGAGAAAGTGAATAAAAAGTTAAGACAACAGTTTTTATAGATAGCCCCAATTGTGTTTCTGCAACTCTCCCAGAATGCCATGTAAACTATGCAAATAAGCAGACCACATTGGCCAACCCATGGGTTTGGGAATCTTCAAAATGTTAGTCTTAGTTAAATCTCAAAGTATATAAATATCTGATGCCATGAAGTGAAGGTAAATGTTTTGAAAGTTGTGATGAGATAAATAAGTCTAATCTGATTTTAATTAAATTCTCAAAGTCATCAGCATGCTGGTGAGACCTAAACACTCAATGCTGCGTTGTATGTACCTGCTGCACAGAGGTATATTAGAGAACTTGTTTCATCATCACAATCATTGGAATGTTTTGGGGGTTTTATGTCACCATACTATGATTATTATTTAAAGCAACATGGGTAAAGTCATAGGCGTGCGCACGTGGTGTGCCAGGTGTGCCTGGGCACACCTTAATCCCTGCGGCACGCCTATGGAGTGAGACCGGCAGGGGAAATCTCAGGATCTCCCCTGTCGGCTCATGCAGAGCCAGCGCTATCCGAGCGCCGGCTCTGCTCTCAGCCTCCCTCCCCGCTGCAGCATGGAGGGAGGCAGGAGAGGACCCGGGGAGCTCAACCAGCAGCTCCGCCGGGTTCCTCTCGCAAGCAACGCCCAGATCTCGAGAGAGTGAACTCTAGCCCCAAAGGGGCTAGAGTTCACTCTCCACTGGACCACCAGGGAAAGCAGCAGCACGATCCACCCCTCCCTACATAAGGTAAGAAGGGAGTGGGGATATTAAGTAATGTGCACCCACCCACACAGCACCTACATACACACAGCACACACATGGAGCACCCACACGCACAGCACACACAGCACACAAACACACACACAGCACACTAACAGGACCCTAACAAACACACACACACAAAGCACACAAACAGCACCCTCACACACAGCACCCTTACACACACAACACCCTCAAACCACCCTCATGCAGCACACACACACACACAGCAGTGTATGTATGTGTGTGTGTGTATATATATATATATATATATATATATAAACACACATACATATATGCGCGGCGTGTGTTTGTGCTTTAGGGTGCACACCCTAATGCAATAGGCTGCGCACGCCTATGGGTAAAGTATAGTGTATAGTAGTTTTGTTTTGTTTATTAGAATTTGTGTTCTTTTTACCAATGTAACCTTGAACATTAATAGCATAAAAGGGAAGTAAAATATATTGTTATAAAGTATATATGATGTACATTTATTGTGGTACAGTCATCTGAAAATGTCTTCCTACTAATCAGTTTAAAACAATTTTTAAATGAATTTTAATCTTAGGCAGGTTATAGTACATTTAGCAGGCAGTCATCTTGCCTTCATAAATGTAAGCCCTTAGTGACCGTTGCCAGTTACTGATAATAAAAAAAAATAAAAACAAGCAAGGCCGTAGAGATCATGTGATGACAGCAGCCAATCAGAGTCTGTGATTTGCAGAGTAGCTCCCAGTATTCCATTGTCCTGGGACACATTGGCGTCCTCTCTGGTCCGGCCCAAACTATCCAATGTTTGGTTGAAATGCTTTAATATTGTTGCGTAAAATGTTCTTAACATTTTGAAAAATGAGCAACACAAAGTATATTTTCTAAAATGCTAAATGATGGAACATGGACTATATTTGATAATAAAGAAACAAACAAAAAAAAACACACATGTTAAGGTTCTAATGCTTTAAGATCATATGAGTCAAGTTTTCCTCCTGTTGCTTCAGGGCTCTCACAAAAAATGTACATCGAATAGAATTTTATAGTTTTTAAAAGACAGCAAATTATTCATAAACCATCTGTATTTGCCATAAGCTTACAGTTTTCTTTGATGGGAGTTATTGTCCAAAAATTAGCTGGATAAAACCTGGCCAAAAATTGAGTCCGTTCCTTATTCATGAAAGCTGTACTTTATCTTTTTTGTTTTGTTTGTTTTAATCCTTCATCACTGCCTATGTCTTCCAGGTGTCTATCGTGGTTTCCGAGATCCTCTCATTCTGTCAGTCTCACTCCCTGTCCGATCCGTTGGTCTCTCCAGTTCCAGCACCTGAGAATCCATTCAGGGAGAAACGCCTGGTTTGTGTTGTCCTCTGATCTGCTCAACCCATGGCCTGCAGTCTTCATCACCTACGACAGACAATCTTCTTCTCTTAGCCTCCTGTATTATATGTTCTTTGTAACCAACCGACCTTCCTAGATGCCTCGTTACATGACATTTTGTATGTTTGTCTTGCTTGTATGTATGTAGAGGTAGCGGCAGGAGACCTGTCCAAGTATGGGACCTGTTACATATCCTTTGCAAAAAAATAAAAAAAACTTTTTCTTTCCAGGAAACATTGTATGGACCAACCCCTTGGAAACTCCTAGCCATTACTTTACCAACTGCATTCAGTATGGGGTCTGTTAATAAAAGGTGTGCGTTGTGGCATCTTGAGAATTGGCTTGTGAAATTTAGATTAAAATCTATAACAGCAGAATTGTGAATTCTTTTATTTTTTATTTTTAACCCTACCAGTTTTCTAAATTACACAAGTTGGTTTTAAAGTTATCACAGCTCATTGTTTATTGACTAAACCCCTTTGAAATCTCTCTTTGGCTTGGTGTCCGGTAGCTCTGATTTCTAAGAATTTTCCCCTGACATCATGGTGGCTTTACCTTTTTAACCCCTACGTTTCTTTTGCCCTACATTGTAACTACCTTATCATGACAGCTGTTATAATAAAATAGTTCATTAGAGTGTATCGTGATCTGGTTTTGTTAATTTAACTAAAACATAATAACTGACACTGGTTGATGTCAGAGTAGGTGACCTACAGCCTTTTATTGGATAAGCATAATTGGAGTTGGAGTCCACAGCAGTGATAATTTTTATATCCTTGAAAGTTAGTTCACCTGTTTCTTGCATGTATTAACATGCTCTTTCTGCTAGGTGGCGCTATGTGTTCCTTGAAATGTTAAGTCGTGTAGTTATTGTAGACTGAATTCAGACAGTAATTTCCATATGAAACAGGTTATGTATAATGTATCAATCGTGAGGCACAGTTCTGAAAGTGGAGCAGTCATTAGGATCGTTCCATAGGTTTCCATGGTGATTGCATCTGTTTTAGAAGTCCCTAGGGTTTTCATTATCCATAACTCCCTTAGGACTTGTTTCAATGGTTTTTGGTAAAAAGCAGCCGTTATGTATTCTAAATAAATACTAACAAGCAGATGTTTGCTGATAAAAAAAATAATATCGACAGGTATTATCGACACTTGCATTTCACGTCTGCATGTTACGCATGGCTGTCTCCACCGGTACCGACCACCACTTCTCATTTACTATTGTGCAAACTGGACTTACAGCAAGAAAAAGGTGAATTTTCCAATTCATTCCCAAACACCGTAAACCGTTTGAGAGCTCATCTGAGCCAGTTGCCCTCAGTGTCTCTATGCACCTGACATTCCAAACTTAGTGAAAACTACATGTATCTTGCATATAGATATTCTTCAGTGCTTCAGTGTACTTAAATATAGAAAAATTTAATAAATCTGTTTATTATAGGATGTATTGAGAGTTTGCAGTAGTTTATCCTCTATACACCTAGATGATGCGGGTATCGTTTTTACCCTGGTAATGTCAGTTGGAAAGTTTTACTGTCCAGCAATGAAGCCTGGTGTTACTTTGCGTTCCAGGACCCTTATTAATCTCTCTGGAAATGTTAAAACTTTCACCAGACACTAATTACCAAGCGCTAAACGTAATTAGCACAAAAACAGCTGGTAATCGATAACGATAACAGCTATTTAAACCATTCCAAATTTGGTAGTAAATGATTGGGACAAACATGGTAACGAACCACTTTATTTGACAAGCCTCACTCACCTGAACCTTAATATTTTTTCGCAAATGTTAGGGATTACACAAGACATCTGTCTGTCAGCCTGACTACTTACTTACCTATGTGAGGCCCTTATTTCTGCTGCGACCCTTGTGCTGTCTATTGTCAGTGCAATCTCAGCTCTTTGAATCCCAAAAGGTTGGAAGTGGCACCGAGCCTCCGGCAAAAATCTGTAACTTATTTCCTTTTGTGGTATAGAATGACTGTCATTCTTCCAGTGCTCCAGCGCCATACGTAGAGGGAGTCGATTGGATGTTGTTCTTTTAGTGACACTCTTTTACTGCTATATAGGACATCGTAAGAGCCACCTCTGCTCTTATTTGTCAATCTAGATCAGAGGTAGGGAACCTTTTGGCACTCTAGGTTTTTGGACTACATCTCCCATGATGCTTTGCCAGCATTGTGGCTGTTGGTGCATTATGGGAGATGTAGTCCACAGAATATTGAGTGCCAAAGGTTGTCTACCCCGATCTAGATCATTAGGACACAATCCCCTGTCCAGGTAACAAATGGTGAAGGGGAAGTTGCCACTTCACTCTCCCTACAATTTGTTTAATAAATTATATCAAAGGATTGCAGTTCCCCGTGTTCACAGGAAATCTCATTAATGTATATAGGCTTATTTACTAAAACAGAAATTGTATAGAATTAACTAGTTATATAGTAAAGCAGCTGAATCAGAAAAATTCAGGCCCGCTGTTGCTCCACTGTGGCTAGTTCGGCATACATTTTTTAAAAATCCCCTTGTAGGTTCTTTGCAATTCAAAAATTAAGGTTACACTTCGAGCAACTTTAAAATGCTTTAAGTGTCATGGATGTGGCTGTCGTGAATGGATTCACACAATGGCTTCATGTGACCACACTGTTACGGCCGTACTAAGATGGAAATAAACTATGTGATCCGTGCAGATATTCGGAAAAATTAATTCCCTGTATTCCTCTTCTGAGACAAGTGTCTTAATGTAGCCATAAACCGTTTATAGTGTCTCTATTGTTGATGAGCGCTGATCTCCGATCGTATTAAATTCATACCTAGCTAATGGTAACATGCTGATTTTGGAGGGCCCTGTGCGTATATAGTGATATATAATATGTTGCCATGAGAGGATTGCTTCAGGAGTCATCATCTGACCTGGGTCTATCTACATTCTCTGTCTCTACCAGCCCCTGTGTGCAATAAATCTGGGGCCCATACCAAGGATTAACTGGCTCGGGGGAAATTAACAGAGCAGGCAAAGAGACCTGATCAGACGCTCTGGAAAAATAAGTAAATAAATCTCTCTCTTTGTATTTAAAAATATAGGCTGCTGGAAAGTGTTTGACAGTTAATAGAGGCATTTATCCTGTGGGAGTATACTTGGTCTGTACAGTATACTGTCAGGGTTATTTGCTAAACTTCAAGTACAGTCAAGACTTCAGCTGGAGTTGCAAATCTAGTATCTGCTAAGGGCAAATCCATGTGAAATCCAGTAATTTGCAGAGAATGAGTTTAAATTATTCCCTGCAAATCATTAAAACGACTGTTTAGTTTGAAATCAGCAATTCGCACAGGTGAGTCACATACAAATGATTGGATTTGCAGATTTATCAAACAACGGATTGATTGCAAACGCATCCCTCCTATTAGCAGGCAAATGAGCAAAATAACTTCAACTTTATTTGGAGGCAAGCCTATAGAAATCTGCAATATTTGGTAAAAAGTTAAACCAAATTCAATGAGTAAAATTTTTTTTTTTTTTCAATGGACCTCCCCATCCCCTGAACTGTGGGGTGGAGGTACTAATAAAACAAAAATAGAGAAACATCCCTGATGGTTTTTTTTTTTTTTTTAATGTAAATGTGATTTTTATTGTTTTCAGAGTAGCAGTTTCACAGTACAATGGAGCAATCCAAACAGTGAGGAGCGCAGGCCTCCAAGAATGTTAGGAATTAGTGGTACATATAGGTAGCATGCGTTGGACTCGCAGGTCCACTTGAGTTAGGTCTGACATTTTTGGGTCATGGAGTTTTAATAAATAAACCTGCTCCACATTTAAAAACCCAGTCAATAACCCCATCCTCATATCTGGGGTAAGAGGATTTACAATATAGTAATAAGGTAGAATCTCCCAGGGATCTTGCGTGTACTTCACCCCCACGGCCAGTGGATGAAGGGTTAATAATAATATTTGGGGACCTAGGCATGAGTTTTCAATAACCTTTATTAGTATTAGGTGAAAGCTATAGCAGAATTTCAACCCCATGATGACCAACTAGCGTTTTTTTTTTTTTTTATAAATCGCCAATAAATTCCGTAGCTTTGTACAATAGGTGGACTAACCTGTATTTGCAACAAGAGGAGCTGGACGTACAGGAACAGAGGGTGTTGAGGGCCCGTCTCAAATGAGCTTTGATTCTAGAGCAGGGGTGCTCAAAGCTAGATCATTCTAAAGGCATGCAAAGCACCATGGGAATTGTACTTCTACAATATCTTGGGATCTATATTTTGGGCACCCCTGTTCTAGGATTGCGAGTGTTACTTTAATGAGCACTTACAAATGGAACCATATTAAGTTGAACATGGTATCATTTTAATCTCTTCTATGATCTCACCTGGCTTATTGTTGTGGGAGAAAGATCGAAGATTCCACGTTCCATGTTTGCTCTCAAATTAATGTGGCTTGCCTCGCAGAGAGTGATGGGAGTGGTTTCCTCAGCATTCACTGTAATGTCAGTCTGCTAGCCTGTCACATGCTACAAAAATGAGATGATGAGGCACAGATATATTTTTTGTAAATCTATATGTGATGAATGCTGATCTATTCAGCCATATTTTTAGTTTGAGCAAAAAGTGGGAGGTTTTTATTCCATACTTTGCTGTTTTTTTAAACACTACAGATAAATCCACAAATATAATGGGTAAAATAGTATCTCAATAAAGTGATAGAAAAAATGGCTCACATTTTGCGTCTGTTTTATACTTTGTCTGTGACAAATGTCTTGTTTTATTTTAGCACAGACAGCACACTGAATCGATATCTGACAATAATTAATATATTATACTATAGGCAGACATACTAGACGTGATGTTATTGCAGTCTTGTCTTCTCTCTGAAATGCTTTTAGTTTCCATGGCAATATATAAACCAAGTACCATTTTACGGTGCGAAAAACCCCTGGAAACGGAATATGGCAGCTACAAACATGACAAAAGTGTGAAAAACTCTCTCTATATATTTGGAAGGGGGGGAAAAGTACCAGTTCTCCTTTATTGTTAAGGTGTTGTTGCAGTAAACATTTTACATCTCAGTTTAGGAATACAGTGCTCATGTCACTAAAAACACATCTATATATTTGTATATAACCATTAATAACACTTGTATAAAAGAGATCTCCCATTAAATTTTTATAAGAGTCCAATGACTCCAGGTCTGCCTTCCAGGATAAGTGTCAAACAAAAAATATATCCATCACTCCTAATTGTGAAAAGATGATAGCTATTTATTGGATAAACAGCAATGTTTCGACTGTGTGTCTTTATCAAGCAATGTCCTTTCAATGTCTTTATTGCTTGATGGGCAAATGCATACTGGCCAAGAATCCTGAGAGTTGAATTCAACAATAGCTGGAGATCTTCCGCTTAGATACAAGTTACACTCTTACAATTTCACAAAACCCATGATTTCAGAGTCTGAGAATTTATGGTAAAAACTTTGTCACTGGAAACCATTTCAAATATAAACATTGAATAAAACCTTAAATTTCTTCTTTTTTTAAAAAAAAACATAAGCTTTGAAAATGTCAACCTCTAACCCAGAAGTATGCAAAGCTCGTGGTTGTTAATTGAAAAACCATGTCCTGAGATATTTAATCTTGATGAAAATTGCTTCCACCCCTCTGTGCACCTTTTTATAAGTGCTTTGGATATCTGTATAGAGGCCGCCAGACTGAATCTACAGACGGTTGTAATCAGATATTAGTACATTGCAGACTATCAGGGCTATTTACTAAAGTAAGAATTCAAAGTGAATTTCAGATTTAAGGCCACATTAAGTGAACTGAGAGCATAGCTAACTTGAAGATATTTGCAAAAATTCACTTTGAATTCTCATTTTAGCGGGTCTCCCAACTGTACCGATTTTGGCGGGACAGTCCTGATTTTCAATGACTATTTCACCGTACCAGCTTAGTTCCCTGGTGTCCTGCTTTTGGAGATAGTTTGAACAATGCTTAAAGGGATACTGTAGTGCCAGGAATACAATGCTGTATTCCTGGCACTAACGGTCCCTCTGCCTCCCCCTCCCCGATAAATAAAGGGTTAAAACCTTTTTATTTACTTACCTTATCCCAGCACCGATGTCCCTCGGCACTGTGTCTAAGATCTGAGGATGTCCAGCGTCAGATAACAAATCCAAAGTCCATTACTATTCCGGAAGCGCCCCCAGTGGCTGTCTGTAAACATTGCAGCTCTAGGTGCAAAAGGGACACAGCAACCAGACCACTTCGATGAGCTGAAGTGGTCTGGGTGCCTACAGTGTTCCTTTGAGGCATTGGGACCTTGCAGATAGCCCTGAAACAATGCTCCCTGCACTGTCTGCCCTCAGTGGCAGGGGCGGACTGACCACTCGGGCACATCGGTTATGGACCAAGGGCCCGACCAGAGATCTCTACAACTGGAACGGCCAAAAAAAAAATATTTTTCTTTAACAGATTGTTAGCGCAGGGCCCCAGCAACCTACTGCTCTGTACATCACCCCCCCACCCCCCCTCATCCTCACATGAGACCTGGCAGCTTCACCTGCTCTCTCTGCCAGGTCTCCTTCTTCCTGTCCCACGAGGCACTCCGTGTGATGGGAGGGGCGGGGCTAAGAAGTGACATCACTTCCTGTACGCTCCTCACACAGCCAGCGAGGGGAAGGAGCAGCAGTCTGAGAGAGACCAGAGGGAGCAGAGAGATACAGAGAGGAAATAAGGGGAACATGGGGAGTCACTCACTCTACCACTAGTCACCCCCTCCCTCACTCTGTCACTAGTCACCCCCTCATTCTGCCACCACTCAACCCCTCACTCTGCCACTAGTCACCCCCTCCCTCACTCTGCCACTAGTCACCCCCTCCCTCACTCTGCCACTAGTCACCCCCTCCCTCACTCTGTCACATTAGTCACCCCCCTCACTCTGCCACCACTCACTCCCTCCCTCTGTCACTAGTCACCCCCTCCCTCACTCTACCACTAGTCACCCCCTTCCCTCTGTCACCAGTCACCCCCTCCCTTCCTCTGTCACTAGTCACCCCATTCCCTCTGTCACCAGTCACCCCCTCCCTGTAACGGAGTATTACCTGATAGGGAGTCCAGCTCGCAGAGTTATACGCTCACCCTTGCAAAGTAGACACAGACCAGGGTGACCAGGTAAGACGCCACCTGGCCTGTGAGTCTGTGCACGGGGGCTTTCCAGGAAAAGTGCTCCAAGTCTCAGTACAACAGGGATAAGAAGAAGCGTGGTCAAGGGAAGCCATCAGGGAAGCCAGAGGTCAGAGTAGTCCAGGAGGAAAGCCAAGGTCAGAAGCCGGAATTAGACAAGAATCACTGGAACGCAGGTACAGAGTAACAGGAACCAAACAAGGGAACCAGAGTCAATGAACTGACACCCCTCCCAGGGTGAGGCAGGCTTTTATACCTTGTTAATCAGGTATCAGATTCAGCTGGAGAGTTACTGACAGATCTGAGCCTTTGGTGATGTCCAGCCCCCTAGTGCTGCAGGCAATACAAGAATAAACAGGAGTTATCCAAAGTCCTGATAATGGCTCAGAGGGAAGATAGCAAGATACGGTGTAGAACAACCGCGGTTCAAATCCCCTATTGGGCGCTTCCGGAGCGACCACGTCTGGCAGACTGGATGTCACGGCGTGAACCGTGACACTCCCTCACTCTGTCACTAGCCAGCCCCCTCACTCTGCCACCACTCACCCCCTCCCTCTGTCACTAGTCACCCCTCCCTCCCTCACTCTACCACTAGTCACCCCCTCCCTCACTTACCAGTCACCCCTTCCCTCACTCTGTCACTAGTCACCCCCTCACTCACTCTACCACTAGTCACCCCCCTCTGTCATCAGTCACCCCTTCCCTCTGTCACCAGTCACCCCTTCCCTCCCTCACTC